CAGTGGCCAGGCGCAGAGCACGGGACAGTGCTCCGCCCCACCTCGAGTGGAAAGCGCATACTGAAAGGGGGCGCACCCCGACTCGAACGCGCCGGCGAACTGGTGCCTACCTCGACCCCGACGACCACCAAGCGGCAGCGCCGGGCGCGCGCTAGCTCGGGGTACGTTTGCTGTCGCTTACGGCGCACTGCGGCGTCGACGGCCTGGCCGGGGCGAACATCAGCGCCCGGCTGCGCGTCTACGGCGAGCTGCGCTCCGTTCCACAGCGACAAGCCGTTGGCCACAACTTCAATGAGACGTGCGTCCGCGAGGGGCACATCGACATTCATATCCGCCAGGCGCACATTGTGGCACACCCGCCCTCCCGCTTCCCGGCACGCACGGAACCGCGCGCTCAAGCGGCAACGCACGAGGCAGGACACCGGAAGTGGCGCACGCCGACCGGTGGTCCCCCAAGGCATCCAAATGGCCGTGACAGCTGCAGGGGCGCGGCGCCACAGGAGCTGCACGCGGCGCAGGAGCAGCACCCGGAACTGGGCCGGTGGGATGAGGAGCTCCGTGGCAGTCGGCCTTACTGTGAGGGCACGCCCGGCGTGCGGTGGCCTGCGACAGCAGTAGCGCGCGAGATGCGGTGTCAAGGTCTGAAAGGTGCATCTCGAGCGCGCGCTCATCACATACCATGGCCGCGCGCCATTGCCACCCCCGAAAGGGGTCGTCACGGTCGCCATCGCCTGGGGGGACGGGCGAGAAGGAGTTCCACGTCGGCACCGCGAAGCCGCGTCCTCGCAGGAGCGCTGCAGCAGTGTGGGCGGATACAAGCGAAGGCGGCTCGCTACCACCGTGCGCTTCAAGGCCTTGCACGAGGCGCTCTGCGACGTCCGGAGCGCGGACGCGGATGGCGGGCAGTAAGTCGAAGCATTTTTCAACGTCAGCAGCAGACTCCAGTGCCACACTGGGCTCAGTCCCGGCTTGAGCCCTGCGACGCTCAGCTCCGGGTTGATCGCACGCCGGGCGAAGCTCGCGCAGCCCATGCACAATCACATGCACAATCACATGCCGTCTTGCGGTCCAGTCCGCGTCATGGTACACTGTTCGAAACTCGGTGTCCCACCACAAAACGTTGATTGCGTAAAACATTGCACTGCCCTGTGGCACCATGCCCGGGTTCGGGTAAACGAGGGCAAACGCGAATCTGGAACGTAGCCGGGGAGGAGCCGTCGGGCATCGCTGACCTGCAGCCTCCCGATTCCGATCCGTTTTGGACTAGCTAATGGTCCTTGCCCAGGGAACGCCAGGGGATTGTAGTTCTTGAAGCTCCGCTTGGCAGTGATGAGTTTGTCCGCTGCCAACTGCAGGCCAAGCGTCAAGCCCACGAGCGGTTGCTGGACCTGCAAACTGCGTGGTTGCTCCAACACTTCTGCGCCGCGAGTCAAGCCAACTTCCTCCTGTGCATGTTGCCCCCCCTCTCTACGGCCGAGTTCGCCGAGGCCCATGACGCGGCAGTCACCCGCTGCTTGGAACGACTCCTATGGCGACGAAGGCGCACCCATCCCGCCCTATGCTGCGGGTGTGCTGCATCTGCTCCTGCGTGAGGAACAAGTTTTGGATTCAGGCAGCAACCTCCCGTTTTGACTTTGTCCCTAATCAGCCTATGAAGATCGCTCTCATGTCCTTGCAAGGGGATGCGCGGCGCAGGCCGCTGGCAACGCGCTACCGACAAAAGTTGGCACGCATACCTTGCGAGTAACTCTTTTGATGACTCGCGCGCATCTCCTCCTCACCCGCGGCGCAGGCCTTGGCGACTGACCCCATGGCTGGCAATTCCACGCGTCGTGTACCCGTTCCGCGTTATTGCGTGCGACCGCAACCAGGCCCTGCATGCCCTGCGGCAGTTCCCGGGGGGCCGCAGTGGGGGCGTAGCTTTCGATCTTTACAAAAGCTGCTTTCCCTCCTACGAGCTACGGCTCCGCTCGTTCTCGCCGCAGGGCCCGGGGAGGTAGCTCGACGGGTGGGGAGACCACGCTCTCGCTGGCACTCGCATCGGGATCGTGGCCAGGGTGAAATTTGTATTTGGCCTGGCTCAATGTGTGCCGCAAGGAGGTTGGCGCGGAAAGCCATGCACCTCGGCCCAAGTGGCTTCTTCGTGGATGCTCTGTGCGATGTGGTGGTGCTCAGTGTTGGATCGTAGACACGAGATACTGCAGGTACTCCCCTTATTTTCTCCCTGGACAGGGACCATTCCTTAGCTCTGGAAGGATCACGTGAGGTGGTCCGTGATGGGCCCGTGACGGGCTGCGCCCCTACATTCGTAACCATCAAAAAGATGCGGGTTGGGTTTGCATTTTTTTTAAATGCCGAGTGCGGGTTCTTGCAAAGTGCACGTAAGCAGTATTCTCACCTTTGCGTCTGCCCAGCCAGCACTTTGTTGCTAGTGTTCATGAATTCGGAACAAACGTGTGAGTTGCATGCGTTGCTTGGGACTGACATCTCACAGTGGCGCACAAATGCTGATACAGCGCAGAGGTTCAAATACTGGATGTACCTTGCCATGGAAGCCCCATCGGTTGGTTCTGTTGAGTATAACAAGGCTTCAAAAGCAGCAACGTTGCAAACAGCATGGGCGGGCGCAAAAAACTCCTAGGCACAGTCCAGGCGCGCCACAGTGCAAGTCTTTGTGGCAGGCCATTGTGATATTACTTGTGCTATTTTTTGCAGGCTGACATTGGTGAATGCGCACCATTTTGTTACTACTGTGATCGCGAGCTGTTGCCCCAGAACGGGTTGGCTGTGATGTTTTGCGTCCGCGTGCAAACAACCTGCCAGTCAAGGTTCGACGATGTGAAGTCTTTGGTGCATCATCAACGCCACTGCCTGAGCTTCGAGGCTTTGGCATACTAGTAGGGCATGGAGTTCCATGTGACAAAAACTTAGGCTTGCGCCATTTCTGTTGCAGGGAATGCGGGCGCCACTTGCCAACAAATGAGATGGAAATTGATGCAACGTTTGCGTACGAGCATGTCTTGTGTGGCGCCCTGAGCAGCTTTTCCGTGCAGGAACGTTCGACTCCGTTACGGGGCTGCGCATCCACATGTCGACCCGACAGCATTGAAACCAGAAGCATCGCACATCCTCAGAAAGATCGTGTGGCAAGGTTGAACTCCTACAAGAGGAGTTTGAAAGAAGTTCCGAATTCCATGTCCGGAGCTCATGGAAGGGCAGGCTCATGCAAGCGGCAGCTATGTTAGTGAGTCTCATGAGCTAGGACCGGCCGGGAGAATCCTGATGTCGTTGTACACGGCGCGATGTATGCATGCCGAAGCTCTGTCCTGCTGACCCCTGAAATGCTTGGCAGTGTTGTTTGGGGAGGCATGGACGGGCTCCCCAAGGGCATATTGGAAGAAAGGTGGGGATACCTGTGCAATCGTCACGCATGAATGTTCGGGTCACCAACATAATGCAGATTGAAGCGCTCACGGCACGACGAGTCGGAAGATGATGAAGCAACGGGTGCCGAGGCAGACCCTTGAAAATTTGATCTGCTCTCCCATGCTCACCCTATGTCCAGGGGTTCCCCACAATTCATGACATCAGCTTTCGCGTTTGCAGGCCAAACCAAAGCCATCGGGCTGCTTGGCTATACAAACATGAGCAGTTCATTAACCGGAACAGGTTGAGGGCTGTCCTTGACACGGATCGATTGCTGTCTAAGGTGGCGGAGAGCCGGCCGATGAAGACAGCTGTGCCCTCAATAGGTGTTTGTGGCCAGCATTGCAGGTTGCACCTTGTTTCCTAATCGCATGCGCCTATGGATTGTGTTTTGTTTCTTTGCTTCTGCTGGACCGAAGGTCCGCTCAAGATGCCTTTGGACAAAGAGCTGCTTGCTTTTATCATTCAGGCTTCGTATGCTGTGTCACAAGAGGTGGGTGCTCTGGTAGGCCAAAGCAGGTTCCAGAGAGTCACAGCTCAGAGTGGCGCCCTGAGTGCTTTAAAAAAGCGTGCTTGTGGCTTGTACGTGTCGTCTATGTAGATGGACATCGCATGCTGAGGTTCAAGGTTGCGGCAAAAGCAGCCTGGAGCCCACATACATTGTCACAGATGTCACAGTGAATCCCCTGTGTAGTGGTGCGGGGTGAGGCTGGCCAAGACCTTGGAGGCCGCACGTGACCTGATTCAGCCACCGGTGTTGTCCAGCAACAAGTTCACAAGTTCAGGCACCCTTCCAGACCCGGCATGGCTTGCAGCTCATCATGCGGCATGTCAATGTCAGTCAAGTCAAACTAGCAAGTGCGATGACTGCGATGCACCGATGCAGCCTTTTTAAAGCCCAGGCTGCCAGTGGAGGCGGGTTGAAGCATCGCATGCGCCTGCATCGCATGCACCTGTCCACAAAGATCTGATCGAAGTCCGAAGTTCGAAGTTCGAAGTCCGAAGTCCGAAGTCCGAAGTTCGAAGTTCGAAGTTAAAAAAAACAAGGTCGAAGTTCGAAGTTCGAAGTTCGAGCCAGGTTGATGCCGCAGAACTTCCGCTCGCCTGAAGCTTGGAGTGCTTCGCTAGGTTGGCTTCACCCACCCATCTTCACCCCGAAGCTTTGCTGATCATGTCCGAGCCAATTCCAGGCCGCACACCGCGCTAGGTGAAACACTCCCGAGACCAAGAATTGCCTAGTCAAGGAAAAGACGGCCCTCATTCAGCTAAAGCTAAGGGTAAGCATCCACCAAGTTGAAACCGGGATGAAAGGCGTGCTGTAGCTGCACCTTGAGCAATCAGACGACTGGTTTGAACAGGATGTCCTGCTGCCCAACGAAGGCGTTGAAGTGCTTGGTCGTGGAAGCAGACTCAAGTGGGGCGTCCCCGAGCTCAGGAACATTTCGACTGCACTTGGAAACTACACTGATACTGTTGGCGTTGGTTTTGCTACTGTTTGTTCGCAGCTGTTCCGGCTTGAATCCCAACAGGCGGTTTGCGTGCCAGGAGCCGCAGCTGTAGAAGCGCATGTCGAGATGGCTGCTGTTGTCCACTCGGGATCCAAAGATGTGCCTGATTTCCCCGTTCCGAACGAGCGGCAGGTGCGCATACCATCTGCAGCAAGCCTTGCAAGCTGCACAGCCGTGTGTGTCTTTGGGATTTGGTCGTTCGCTTGTTCCCATGGTGAAACTTTCCTTGCGTGTTCAGGCTGCCGAAGCTGCACCGCTGCCGACCCACGGGCAAGACAACTTTTTGGACCAGGACCATGCTGCTGTCCGCTGCTGTCCAACCGTATGTGGAGACGGGGTGGTTTGTTGTACTGCGACACCTGTCGGAACAGGAGCTAAACGCGTACTTGGATCGTCACTGTGCCGAACTCAAGGCCCTTGTCATATTTCTCGTACATCACCAGATTCCTCAGACACGTCCTGAGAGGCACTGCTCGAGGAATGTTTTGCTGCCGTGCGCATGCGCGAGACTGACGCCATCGCCCCTTGCCCGAAGCTTTCCTCACAGGATGTGCCCTTTAACTTTGCGGCTCGTTGCTGATGTTGCTGCAGGCGCTGAATCCCGTCGCGTTGAAGCCTTGTACGAACCATGTGCGGTCCATGAAGGCAGGAAGTTACTTGTGGTGTGCATCTTTGAGGAACCCAAGGAAAGAAACCCTGCGGTGCGGTACGCCCAGCTATTCGGGAAGGAAATGTATCGTTAGAAGAGAGGGATAGGAAGGCTTTGCCGGGCAGCTCAAGGGAAACATGGGAAAACTGAGACGGGAGCAGATGTCGTCTTTGGTGTTGCATAGGTCACGCTTCGCAATGCCAACGACGTGTTGCCGGAGTTGGAAGGGACGTGCGTCTGCCAAGTCCAAGGGCGTGGCCGCTTGCTTCTGCATGTGGCTTTCGAGTGACTGTAGTAGGCGTTTGTTCGAGTCAGCGTTGCAAAGGGAAGAAGGAACAAGGTAGCGTGAAAGTTTCTCCGAAGCTTCCCCGAGGATCAGATTCTTGCTTGCTGGACGTGGGAAATGATGTGGTGCACGATCAAGCTGCCATGCTATGGGATGTGCACGAGGGCGATGGAATCCGGATTTCTCTCTTCAAGGAAAGTCTCGTACAGAAAGTCCAAAGCAAGCTGTCCTGTGCACTGTTCTGGCACTCTTGGAACATCTCGAAACGGCATGGACAGGAAGGAGCAATTCCTGAGAATTTGCTGGGCGGCATCACGCTGGACCCCGAAATGATTATGTTTGACTATGATGACACGGTCCAGTTACTTGGACAAAAACTGGCGTGACGTAAGCAGAATGCAGGGAAATTGAGAGCCTAAAAGTACGCGACAGGATGCTGAATATTCAGAACAGCCTTAGCTCGTCTGCTCAGCAGTGCTGGGCGACGAGCCGAACAAGCCCACAAAGCCATCACTGTGTTTGTGGACACTTTTCCACTGCCTTCGTTCGCAGGCTGCCGCTTTTGGGTGGTGGCAAGGCAGCCCGATGCAGCGCTCGTTTCCTACGTCTTGATGCTCCGTACTTGCAGCTCGATGTGAGCTCGCAGGCTGAGCTGCTTCTCAAAGTGGAAGCCGTGGACTCGCCCACTACGCCTCAGGCACCACATGGAGCGAAGACATGATGAAAACATGATGAAGACATGATGAAGACATGATGAAGACATGATGAAGACATGATGAAGACATGATGAAGACATGATGAAGGCATGATGAAGACATGATGAAGACATGGGCAGACGTCGCTTCGGAGGCTCAAAAGGGGATGTCCAGAAGTCCGCAAGCTCGTCACCCAGTCATTGAGTGGTCGTACGTGTCGTGCAGAGCCTGGGGGGCATCGCTTGGGCAAAGCGTTGACCGCTCCAGGGCCGAAGGTGGCAGCTCCTCGACAGTCTCCCACAAGAAGTTAAAACCGAGTTGTGAGCTCAGCCTCGGAAGCTCCTGCTCTTGCTGCTATTGGTGCTCGTACTTTGCCAGAATTGGTCTGAACAAACTCCATTAAGGTCGGCTGCAGAAGTTGTACCAGATGCCTCCAAAGAGGTGCCCCTTCCCCGGGACAACTTCGCGGCACAGATTGTCAAGAGCCACTTCTTTGATCGCTTTTGTGCCCCGGTCTTGGCCGTGGCTCTGTGTGAGGGCAGTTGTGAGGGCAGTTGTGAGATGACTCCGTGTGGTAGGCGATGGTGTTTTTTTGCAGCCTGAGGCCTTTCTTATTCTTATCAATGCAGTGAGCATTGGTGTGGAGGTTGAGATGGTTGCTACCGGCGTCGTGCCGGCATCCTCGATGACCTTCCGCATCTCGCAGATCCTTTTTGCCATTTTGTTTGGTCTTGAGCTCGCCCTCCGCATGGCAGCTTATGGAGGCCGCTTTTTCTCGGATCGTGTTGACAAGCCTTGGAACATCTTCGACACGTTGATCGTGACATTGTCAACGGCTGAAATTATATTAAGCCTGTTCATCAGGGACAGCACTGCAACTTTGTCTGTGGCGCGTTTTGCAAGAATCATTCGGGTGGCTCGCATCATTCGTGTGACCCGCTTCTTTCGGCAGCTGCGTACGCTGGTATACACCATACTTAACACGTTGACTTCTCTTTTCTGGACGGTTCTGGTGATGATTATCATCATCTATCTTTTCTCTGTGGGCATAACAGCAGCTGTTTCCGATCATCTGCAGCGACACACAGAGCCCTCTGCCACACGGCTGCAGTAACTGCTTGTATCGCGTGGCTGTAGCCAGTGTTGCGGGGGCTCCCACTTGAACTGGACCTGACACTAGGCAACCTCCATACCTTCAACGATTTGTAGCATTCGGGTACGATGCATGCATTGTTGGTATCCTGGGCACTGGAGTTTCCATGCTCACGATATAGGAGTTGTTGCCCAACAAGAAAGCATTAAAGCCCTGCTCGATTCGAGAGCCACAGGTTTGACGAGTCCCGCCCCGTCCAACCTTTTTGCACCCCACGAAAATTTCGGCTGTCCTGTCCAGGTACAAAGGGACCGACTGTGGGAAGACTTCGGCACGCTCGCAAGAACAGCCTACACTTTGTTCAAAGCAGTGTCAGGCGGTGTCAGCTGGGGAGAACCTGCAGCTTAAGCAAAGCACTGGCACGTATGCTTTGATAGTCCCAGTGGGCAAGATGCTGCTGTCTTCTTAGTTTGGAGGCACAGTTTAATGCATAATCTGGGAAGCTACCTTGCACAATCCCAGGCGGCTGACCTGCTCCCCCTGGGATCTGTCTATTTGTTCCTGCTACTTACCTGAGCTGTGGACAATAGGGCATAGCAACACCGCTTCAGCTTGCTGGCACACAAGTGCCCCCAATCGATTCTCAATCGTTTGCCAGGGGTGGGGTTGCTCAAATCATGTTGACAAACCTCCGGTTTTGACCGCCCCATGTGCCCATGCACGCCACACAAGAAGTTAAAGCCAAAGCAGTTTGCTCGACTCTTTTTGTGAGCTTTACTGCGCGTGTGATACAGTCCGATACAGACTTACGAAGCAGATGATGTGCGGAGCTGAGCTGCGGGTATTGGCTCAGGTTGCTTATCTATGTGATGTTCATGCTTTTCTGCATGGCCAACGTTGTTACGGGCTTCTTTTGCGAACATGCTCCTTGGAAAGTGAATTTGCTGAACATGTTTTTCATAACAAACCCGTGCAAGCAGAACAATGTTTGGGGGCTGTTAAGAAAGTTCAGAACCGGTCAAGGCTTTCGAGATGGCACAGGCTGACAAGGACCAAGTCATCATGGACCAGCTCCGACTACGCGAAGAACACATCCAGGCGTTCAGGTCCATGTTTGGGCACGTCGATGTGGATGCCGAGGAGAGTATATCGTTCCGTCAGCTGGAGAAGCTGTTAAGTCGAGAGGACGTGCAAGCTTATTTGTCACATCTGGACATCACGGTGGAGTCCACCTGGAACATGTTCAAGCTTCTGGACACAGATGGCAGCGGAGAGTTGTCAATCGAGGTGCTTCTGTTCGGGAACTGGCCCATGCTTCTTAAATCCTTCAATGTGTTTTTTCCCGAATGCTCCGCAGAAGGGTTCCCGTTTTAAAGTTGGGTTGGGTGGTTACCAAACGTCGTTGCGTTGTGTCCGTAAAGCGTTCGCAAAGCGTTCGCAAAGCGTCCGCAAGCGTCCGCAAGCGTTCGCGAGTGGCGTAAGCGTACTGTACTGTTAAGGGGGAACTGCACAGAACGCGCACCGACGCGGCGTTCCGTAGCGTTCCGAATCCGTCAAGCTAAGGGGGAAATCCACAGGATGCGCGCCGACGCGGCGTTCCGCAGCGTTCCGAATCCGTCAAGCTAAGGGGGAATTCCACAGGACGCGCCGACGCGCCGACGCGGCGTTCCGCAGTGTTCTGAATCCGTCAAGCTAAGGGGGAACTCCACAGGACGCGCTCCGTCGCGTTCCGAAACCGTCAAGCTAAGGGGGAAATCCACAGGATGCGCGCCGACGCGCCGACGCGGCGCCGACGCGGCGCCGACGCGGCGTTCCGTAGCGTTCCGAATCCGTCAAGCTAAGGGGGAACTCCACAGGACGCGCGCCGACGCGGCGCTCCGTCGCGTTCCGAATCCGTGAAGCTAAGGGGGAATTACACAGGGCGCGCGCCGACGCGGCGTTCCGTAGCGTTCCGAATCCGTTAAGCCGCATGGTGTGAGCATCCGCTACAACGTTCCTTGAGACTTTGATCCAGGCTTTGCTTGCCGTGCTGAGTGCGTAGGAGCACTTCTAGGATCTCATCTCACATCTGTCCAATGTATCTGTACAGTGTTCGGAGCAGTGCGAAGGGTGCGCAGAAGATCACACAGCGACATACGAAGATGGTAGTCGACTGCACATGAGACATTGAACACACGCCTTCGCTCTTGCAGATGCCTTGCAGTCTTGTACATCATGAACTATTATCACCGATGCTGACAGGCGAAGCTCCTGCACTTCATGCACAATGTTATGTTTTTCCGTTGGAAGCGTGCGAAACGAAAACCTCTTCTCCGCCCGCGCACCGACGTTTCGTTGATTTCATGTTAAATCTGCGTTATGGGTGGCTGCTTTCCGCATTCGGGTTCGTGGGTCTTGTCAGGTTTTTTTATGTTCTTTCAGGTTCGGAATCAGGTTCGGAATGGTTCGGAGTAGGTGCTTGGATTGTGTCTGCCACTGACAGCAACTGCACGTGTGCACAAGAAGAGCCTTGACAGGAGTTTGTGGACGGCTTGTTGCGATTGAAGGGGCAAGCAAAAACGATTGATTTGGTTGGCATCAGCTACGATATTCGGCGGCAAGCCGTCGTCCTGGCCGACTTCATGGACTTTGTTGAAGATCAGTTTGATGAGATTTTGGCCAGGCCAGGCGTTGGTTCAGGCCTTCCAAGCGCCCTGGCTAAGAACTTGTCCGATCCGCTGGCTCAGATCTCGCTTTGTTTTCCTGAACTTTGCATTGAAGGTTGTTGAGTCCAACAAGTGACTGCTCCACAAATGCCGCAGGTTCACCATCTTTCCACTGATCTCAGTTCCCAAACCAGTTTTTGACTGCTACCACATCGGATCGCGTACAAAACGATTTCTTTTGGGCTTAGGAGGGCCCATCTTCAGTGAACAGGCGCCGACAAGCGCCCAGAGGCCCGACGCTCTCGCAAGCAGGGGCTGGGAAGGATCACATCCGTTGCATCGAACTAGAACCCCAAACAGTGCGCGTGGCAAACAAAAGTAGACCCAAACAGTTGCCCCTTCAAGCCAAAAGCGCAAGAGCACTCCGAGGGCCGAAGTTTGTTCAGTGTTGGTATCGTGCGCGGTTGCCATGAACAAGCACATGTCGAGCGGGCTGCTCCCGGCCCATGGATGCCCGATAGTGCTCATTGGCCGCCAATGATGTTGCTATGTTCGTCCTGTAGTTGCGCCCGTTCCTGCACACCCCCCACCCCCCCTGCGCATGAGACTCTCCGACAGCCCGCAGGAGGAGAAGGGGAACGTGCATAAAGTAAGGGCTTACTATTTAGGGTGTTCACATGGTCGCCTTTCCATCTCTCCATGATGGTTGGCAGGGCCGGACGTTCTTGCTTTGCCCGGCAGGCAGTACCACTGCAGTATCCCTTGTGAAAAGTCGTGATAAATCGTGGTTCGGGCATGTGTAACACATATGAATACGCCAAGCAACGCAAGTGGGGCTTAGAGGCTTAGAAGGCTTGACGGTGTGCATGGACCACAGTATCCACTAGAAGCTTAGAGCTTTAGAGGCGAGGATGCTTCTGGGCTTGGAGGCTGCAAAGCATCGAGGCGACGCACCTGTTGCCCCTACACTTGCCCGTACACTGGTTTCTCAGAGTTCGTGGGGCTGGCTGATTCTATTCGCCTCCAAATTTTGAAATTGCTCAAGGGGCCCATGGTGTATAATTGAGATGTAGTTTGTGTGTGCCGCATTCCAGGTCTCTTGCCTTCAATAGTATTCTTGTGCACCGGCGCTGTACAACTTGCATACGATGCCAAGCTCGCGAGCCTGGGGTTCCGCTGTGTTCTGTTCTGCCGTGTTCTGCTGTCTTTGTGTTCTGCTGTGTTCTGCTGTGTTCTAAGGAGTGCCGCATCAAGGCCATCAGGTGGGAAGTCGGAGATCCTTGCAACATCGAAGAAGCTTGTCTGTGGGACGCCGGGCGACAGTGGCTGCAACACGCTCCAGAAGGACCCACGTGAGCCACCAATGACGTTCACCCGTCAGCTTAGCTTCGCCCTGCCCACGACAACAAAAGGATCCAAAGCCATGTTCAAGTGACACCCATGCGCATCGATCCTTGCATGCCGAAATCGCGGGATCTTTGGCCACTGAGGCGCAGCGCTGGTCAGGATGTGCCGGATGCGCTAGCTGTTGGCCCAGTCGCCTTCGTTTGACCCCAAAGTGCTTCTAGAAGGTGTCTTCCACAAAGGCCTGTCTTCATTCTCTTGCTCTGCAAGCTTTGGTGGAGTGCTCAGTGTACGGAGCAAGAGAAACAGCGATCTCTTTCAAGGATGTTGCCTGATGGGCTAGCCAGGCATCAGTTGGCTTGCTCCAACATGGGGCATATGCTCCCAGCCAAGTCACTGTGCCCCGGTTTATGTCAGTCTGTTGACGGCTGCAGCGAGTGTCAACGAGCTGACCATATCCGGCTGGTTGCCGTAGCGCCGTAGGATCTCCTGGAAGCCTCTGTGGCCCACAGATCTGAACCGGAGCAGAAGCCAATGGAGAAGCTCTGGCCTCAGTCAGTCTTTGGACATCCTTTTTTTTTTTGGTTGTGTGGGTGTGTGTGTGTGTGTGCTTTGAAGTCAGGATGCGAAATGCCTCGATGGGACCAGGACGTGCGGACGGGCTTCTGTTCGGCTCGCCATTATGTTCGAAATGTGTCCCGTGGTTCGGTGTGCTCGTGAAACCTTTGTTGTACCCTTTCATGACCGGCATTTGATTGCTTGTTTTGTGCAGGGCCAATTGGGCCGTGCGTGGCCGAGACAGACATCTTCTCCTTCTTCATGAATTTCTATTTTCCGGAAGGGAATTTTGCACCGAAGATTCGCAACAGATGTGCTTGCCTAGCCGCTGAGCTCAGCTTCAACCACCACGAGTTTTCGTGGTTTCGAATTTCAGAGATTTTGCAGTTGTCTGTTGCAGCTCGCAGACTGCGCACTTCGTCACTTAGTCTAAGTGCCAATTCCCTCGGATTGTGTGCCATGCCGACCTCCATCGATCTGGAACCCTTGGGTGGCAGTGGATGCCTGAGTGCCGCAACTTCGACGCTGCCCCATGCAAGGCGGGCTTCTGCCAATGGCTCCTTCCTGAACTTGGGTGGCTTAGCAGGCGCTGCTGCGGGAGCTGCAGGGGCGCTGGGCGGTCCACTGGGTGGTGCCGTGGGTGGCGTGTTAGGCGGGATGGCGGGCGTGGGTCAGAGCAAGCTGATTCCAGAGCCCAAGGTTCCCAAACAGAATTTGATCATTTAAGGCTTGCGTTGCACTATGTTAGCCCGGTTACATGGTTCAGTAAGTTGCGTGTGTTCCGGCCAGCGCAGACGAAGCGCAGCCAAGGCGGAAGGTCCACGAGATCGCTTCAAGTTACTCCTAGAGGTGAAGCGAACAGGATATCCCGATGACCATTCGCCACAACCAGATGCTGGTAGTCCTGGCCAGCTTGGCTTTGCGGCGCTCCATTGGTCGAGACATGAGGTCGCCAATGCCTTGCGTGCCATGGAGAGCATGCGCTTCGTCGAGCAGCAAGCGCAGGTAGCCAAGGGGATTGCAGACAAGGCTGCTGCACAGCTCACGTACCTCATGGAGTCTCCTTGCCTCAGAGGGGTGACACAACCTGCAGAAGCCGTGCCGACCCTAATTGCTCAGCCATTTGTTGCCATCCCAGCTTCCTGCTTGTGCCATTCTATCTGGCTGCGTCGCAGCCTTGGCAGCAAGGCAAGACTTCCCGACCAGCAGTCAGAAAGCCTTACCACTCAATCTGCACCGAATGCGACGATGTCAATGTGCCCGATAGCTGCTCGCCTGTGATGTGCTTTGGCCATCTCGAGCCAGGGTTCTTTCGCTGAAAGCTTTGCGATTTGCGCTTCGCTGCTAGGTGTTGCAAGTTCTGACGTGTGGCAGGACATCTCGGCCGCAAGGGTTGTGCGATGTTGTGTGGCTGCATGCTGTCTTGACATGGATTGATGTATCTTGGTGAGGACATGTACGCGAGACAGGCAAAAATGCTTTGAGTTTTTGTGATCTGCTGGCCAAAGCTGCCGAAGTGGATGCGCCCGCTGTGTGCGTGTGTATGCGCGCATCGAAAGCATGAGCCGAAAACACAGCATGCATAAACGCAGTTCTGAGTGCCGATCACGGTCTGTGTTTGGATGCCAGAGCTGCTAGAGGTTAAACATGGATGTTTGAGGTTAAACATGGGTTTCATGCCGGCTGCGCTGGTCCCTGGACTTCCAGCTGCGTCCGTTTCGCAGCTGTTGGGACAGCGCTTTGCGAGTGTGATCTGCTTAAGGTCTGAAGGCTGAAGTGGAGGTTCGACACCTTGTCTGGCGTCTCTGCCCTGCCTAGGCTGCCCCAGCGAGCTCCAATGCTTGGCCATTCCCATAGTTTGCACGAGATGCTTCAAGATGCGCTGTGTCTTGCAAGGGCAGGGTGTAGTGGCCAAAAAATGCTGCATACACCATGTAGCAGCGTTGGTTTCCACTTGTAAATCAAAACAGTGCCATTGCGGGTTAGTTCGTCCATATGACAAACCACCAGCGTCGCAGGTGACAGGGGTCACAAGAGAAATGTGTCAAACCTTAGAGTTGCTGGAATTCAGCGAAGCAATATGAAACAGTGGTTCTACGGGGAGGATTTTCATGCTCGTAGCCTGAAGAGACATATTGGCAAGGAAATGAAGCTGTGCCATTGATGTTGCCAAGGTCCTCCGGCTGGGTTCGAGCCTCGCTGCCCAATGCCTCCACAACATCGGAAGCCTCCTGCGATGATCTTGTGATGATCTTGCTTTCTCAGGATGGCCTGTCTTCCAGGTCAGTTTCCCGTCCAAGGCACCGGTTGCCTTGTGATGTTGCCCGCATTCGCTGCGCTCCTCATTTTGTGGACGGAAGGCGCTGCGCAACTGGCTGGCATGCCCGGAGCCTCCACCTTGGGGGCAGGGGGTCATCAATACATATCCACCTCGCACTGAGGCTGCCAGGCATGATGGGACGCCCTGTCGCTTGACTAAAGCAATCCTCGAAGCCCTTATCCACAGCTTGCTGCTGCTCGTGAGGCCATGCCATCGGTTCCACAGCCAGGCTTGGATCTGTCGAGGATCTGTGGTCGCCTTGCTTTTTTAGCTGTTGCTCTCGTCCTTTGATGTCGCTTGGGCCACTTTTCGTCTAAGATTTTGGGTTTCATTCTAAAATCGTGCTGCTGCTTTGGCTTTGGCCTTTGTCGCCGATGTTGTGACACATGCATGCGCGGCTTTGATGGTGCCATTGTTCGAATACGTGCTGTAGAAAGGCCCTTCCTGTAACTGTATCAGTTGTTTTCCGGGAAGTGGACGTCGCCACATGTGGGTTTTCAAGGCTTGTTCACGGTCCTGATCGTGTTGTATCCTGCTGCCAGATATACTTGCGGCCGGTTCAAACATGGATGGGTTCCTGGCCCGGCCGTGGCACACCGAAGCGTAAGCCCGACGCCTGGGTAAATCCTGAATGATGAGTCGGGAACCCCGCTACCTCCTGGCTTCTATGAGTCGAGATGTGAGCTGTTACAGGGGTTGAAAGTTGAAAGTGAGCGGGCTATGCAAGTGTTGCAGAACAGAGATGCACCGCACAGAAGCATGAGGCAAGTCACAAGAAAACCGAAGCAAGTCAATTGTAGACACGCCGCCGAGTGTGCAGGTTTCACAAGTCAGCCTCAAAGTTTGGGCTGCGCCGGCTGTGGAGCCTGCCCATCGCAGTACCACCGGCAGGGTTTGCCTCAGAGAGTTTGCCGGCATGCCTCTGGCCGGAATATCACGAGACCCATGCTTGCGTCTTGTAGCTCGCGCTGGTGTGTGTTTCGTCATCTGCTTGGGGTTTACAGTGATGGCAGGCCCATGGGCGCACCTTTGGGCACACCTTTGGGCGCTCAAGCAGCAATGAGTTCCGGACTACTGTAAGAAAGAAAGCCGTGGACACGGCAGTCATGACTCCCAAGGTCGTTCCTCGTCGTTTCAGTTGCCTTTCCACCGTTCTTCGCACAAAGTCGGTTCTCGCGCAAGTACAGTGCCATATCGGTGAAGCTGGTGCTGTTGGGGTCCATGTGTTTGCCTGGGCATCGCGTCTTTGCGCACTCCAATTTTTGCAGGTTCTTGACATTCCATGCGGCGCCAAGGCATGAATACTGGACCTCTACCGTCCGCAAGGGCCTTGATTGCAACTCCTTGATTCCACGGGAACCTGTCAGATCACTCCGCAGCAGTGGCTTCGAGGTTCATCTGCCTGGCGGAGTGGGGATGCACATGGCAGGCCTGGCAAGAGAGACCGTAGAAATTGCACCGCAGGGGAACTAACAAATGGAAACGCTCAAGGCCTACCTCCGGCAGTGCAGGGGACTCGGGATTTCGCAGTGTTGCAGAAGCTGGCGTAGAACAGAGTTGTCGCATAAATGGAAAACACGGCAGAAGTCCAACCGGGTGCGTCATGAAGCATGCTCCAGGAAGCTCCTGCGTTCAGCGTTGTGTGGGATGTGTCGTGCAGTCAGGCCAAGCATTGTTGCCCACGTCTAAGCCCCAGTTGGGACTGTCGGCATGCTATGTTGTCATATATGGGGACTCTAGATCTGAGGCGATGGAGCCGGCAGCAAAACGGTCCAAGTTGGAGACTGATGCCACTTGAGCCGTAGAAAAAAAGTGGCCTCAAGGGGTCTTTATCGATACTACTCATACTTCTTGTCTCAAAGCTTCTTCGGCGAATGCCCTGCCTGTGCATCTGCGGTTTCTATGCACACCTTGCAACACAGCCACGAGGGCTCTAGCATCCAGTCAGTTGTTGCAGCCTTCACACTGCCTGACAGGGACACATCACAGCCCGACATCACCTACAACCGCAGGTACAGCCGTTCCTTGTTACCCTGATGGGCCACTAGCAAAGAACAGCCGTGAAAGTTTGCAATGGCGGTCGTTGACTTACATGGCATGTTCAGTTTGGGAAGAGGACAGTTGAACCGTTGTGACGCATGAGGTGCTCCAGTCTCCTACAGGTGCGCCGGGGCACACCTTATCTGCCATGCAGTTGTGCATGATAAACTGGATGCTTTAGCAGGAGTCAATGCGGTGCCCACGACCGAGCCAATGGAACGTAGGCATCCGGATCATGGACCCATCTGCAATCAATCTGGCGCACAAAGGCCGATCATTCTCCAGAGGAGCGTTACAGCTCCGCTTGGGCCGCCGCCTTTTTCTGCAAGCACGTTCGCACATCGGCTCTTAGCTTTGCATGATCAGTGAGGCCAACCCCAACTCACACTGTTGCAAAAGCCTCGGTGCACACCCAGATGCTTGGGCGGTGTTAAGATTCCGTGCGAGCCCATCGCCGAGGCAGCGAAGCCAGTTTACCGAAAGCAAAGCTCGATGCCTGCGGCAAGCATCCCTGAGCATCCCTGCCTTTCTGCATTCCACTTGCCCTGAGAACGCTCTGCTGAGGCGCAGGTGGTAGCTGGTCTCCCAGGCGGGAGACTTTCTGAGCATGGCACACCGTAGCACACACTCGTGGCATATTGTACAAGGTGTACTTCCCAAGGCTGCTTGCTCTTCAGAAATACGCTGTGAAGCGTAACCTCCTGAACACCAAGTCCATCCGAACTCGACACCTAAACCGTAAGCTTCTTCAGGCCCGTGACCCAGTGAGTTAGATCGGGGTGCGCTCAGATTTTTGGAGTAGCTTGATTTGCCACGTGGTAATACCATCTGCCCGCAGTACACAGTTGGGAGCAGAAGGAAACAACCTAGGTCAGTTTTGAGAGCAGCTTGGGAAAACCAAACGTAGGAAAGCTACATGATTTCGTGGTCGAAAGGCGAAGATTCAATCGTTGCGGTGAAAGGATTTCTACTCACACATTTTGAACCGGGGCATGGGTCATTCCCCTTCGGACATGGGAGCCGGAGAATCCAAGGTTGCTTTCTTCATGTGGCAATCGCATCTCCATCTCACAACCTGCGCCGTGTTCATGTGCTTGATGGTCTTTCTTCAGTCCCAGCGTCTTCAGGGCCTGTCGCAGCAAGGCGACCCACGGCGTGCTCCCCAGAGAACGCGAGATTTCGAGCCAGGAAGGGTCCATGAGTATCGCCCTTGGGTGCTCGGAAGGATGAGTTGAAGCCGCTCTGGTCTGCTGTTGTCGGGCGCTGACTTCGCATCCGCCGCGAGTAACGCCTAGCACCACAATGCACCCCGCACCCGCATTCACAGGTGGCGGGGAAACCTCAGGAGGCTTGATTCTGCTTGACGGCAGTTGCGCGGCTGCTTCTGTAGACAGGCTCGTGCTTCTGGCAGGCTGCCGTGAAGCCCCAGCAGGTTGCTTCTGTTGTGGCGGCGCCTGTCGCAGCTCCAAATGTCCCGACTGTCCCTGCAACTGCTGCACGCACCTCCTGGGCGAGCCTTACAGAAGGACCGATGGATGCCGAAGCAGCACGTTTTTAGCACCTAGAACAGAAGTGGAAGCCTTTTCGCCTTGAACGCAATCTTGTGCGCGAATGTATGCAGCCAACTGTGCTCAAGGCAGGTTCATTAGCCGGATATCTGTACAAAACATGGCGGAGCTTTAGCTGCGCACGCGAGCTGCGGCTCGTTTTGCCTTTGATCTACTTCTTTGGAGAATTTTGGAGATGCGGTTGACAGATCCGGAGTTGGCTGGCACGGGCTTTCATTCACCAGCCGCAGATTTGTTTGATTTGTTCATGAAGTGACACGGTTGTTGACAAAGGTTCATGGCTGGCGAGGATCAGCCTGCAAACGAGGTAGAAAAGAATGCCTCTGCACCATTATCAGAGCCCTGGCTTCACTGAATGGAGTGCTTGACCCACACGTCGTTCAGATGTTTCAGCGTTGGCCCGTGTGCAGTGGGTGAAGCAAAGCCAGTTGCAAGGGCAATGCAGGAAGGTGACGGGGTGACGGCATTTTGCGTTTGTACGTTCATGCCCAGGATGCGAGGCTTGCAGAGGCAGATGATGCACAAGCGTTCTCCTGGACCACCGGATCACGAACGCCAGGCTCGGAATTGTTGGGGGGCAGGATGCAGCTTCCGAGACTCAAGTGGAGGAGCCGCAAGCTCAGATGAGAAGAAGAGGGCTGCAAGCTTGCCGGCTGAAGGAGAGAACCTTGTGTGTTTCAACTCATCAACTCAAGATTACCAGAGGCAAAGGTGTGAGCTTAATGCTTGGGGTTTTATCGGGTAAACGCGTATCTGTCATGGCTCACAGCTCATGTGGAAGTGGTTCACAGGATGCAAGTCATTAGCACAGGCAGGCTTGCGAAACATTGCTTTCTGAAAGCTCAGGTGAGTTTTCCTCGTGGGCTGCATTCCGCTGGTCTCTGCTCCATGAGCTCTTCATGGACGAGTATAAAAACTCGTCCGCTCTTGGTGGGGAACAGCTCAAGGCTCCGGATCGTTGGTGTTGGATCCAGAAGAGGTAGCAGCGAAGAGACGAAGGTTAAGGTATTGCCAGCCCAGGATCCTTCTCTGTGGCAGGCCCTTGTGAGACATCACCTCTCGTAACTTTCGTTCCAAGGTTATGAGTGCTCGGTTTTGGGCGCAAAGTTAACATACATTCTTTAGACATAAACGCGTTTCCACCCATGCTTGTTCCGCAGCCTTGTTCATCCATCTTGGCTTTCTTTCACTGCGGTCGACCAGGTCAACCGGCTGGCGCTGCGTTGTCTTTCCTGCAAAGACTGGGCTGCTTCCAAGGAAATATGGCATGGTTGCTGTAAGGTGCAGCTGTTGTTCTTGCGAAGCTCCCTGGGTCACCATGTTCTGTTTCGGCTAGGTACTTCGGATAGAAGCTAGTATGTCTGATTCCAATGCTCACAGTCCAGGTTCGATTGATCAGCAACTTGGGCTTTCCTGGAGACGCACTGGCAGTCTTCCAAACCATTGAGCCTTGGCATCGAGAGGGCACATGTATTCTTTGTGACAGGGGAGGACCTAGGATGTGGGTCAATGCCTTGTTAGGAGAGGATGTTGGGCTGGCCTTATGCAGCCAACAGTTGTTGTAGGCTGTTGAGATGCATTGTGCTTTCTGCATGTGCGTGCAGCCACCCGTCATTCCTTCTTTGCAGCTCAAGGTAGAGGATTTCCCTAGCGAGGAGAAGGAGAAGCAGCTCAGGCAGGTGCCGAATTAGTGACACGCGAATCAGTCTGAGGGCTATGGGCTCGTTTAGCTTACAACGCATCAGACCGAGACCGACTCGGACCCATCATGCCCGTGTGCACCTATTCGTGAATGCCGAGGGCAGCAGGGGTCGACAGCATGAGCGTCATGACGCTGGCGCAGCTGCGGCGCTTCGAGGCCCGAAGACGAAAAGTTCCCCCATGGACTTGATTGTGTGATGATTTGCTCAGATCGCTTGCCTCGCTCGTCTGTGCAAGTAGCATCTGTGACCCCGGTCCCCACCGCTAGACGCCCACAAAAGTGTAGCTTGCTGAGGAGGAGATGTCTGTCAAGCGGTTATCCTTATCAGTGCAAGATGAGGGATCTCCGTCGTGGCAGTTCGCGCAATTCTTGAAGACTTCAGGCTGCACAAGTGAAGATGTGAGCACGACAAAGGTAAGAGAACATCTCATGTGAGCAGCCATTCGAATCTTTCGAGCCAGCCGTGCTGCTCGTTTCAGCCACGGATGCATCAGCTGCTTGATCTCGGGTCGTCTTGTGTTGTAGTATGGTGACCTGTCGAAACCAAGGAGAAGTCGGCAGAATTTGCAGCAACCTCAGGTATTGCAGAGTTGATTTTACCACAAGACTGGTGCCAGTGAAAGTTGGCTGTGGGCAGGCTCAGAGCATGGCGACTGGACTTGGATGTGAAACAAAACGGAACCGTCACGTTTGTGGACTTCGCGCTTCTCGGCAGGATTTGAGCGAGTGAGTGAGCTTATATATATATATATATATATATACATATACACATTTACTTGTGCATCTAGAATCTCTTTGTCTCTCTCTCTCTCTCACTCACTCACTCACTCTCTCTCTCTCTCTCTCTGTTCTTTCTCTGTCTGGGAATGCAAGGAGCGCCTGTCGCCGGCTTGGGCTTCAGGGCCAGTGCCGGCAAATATGGACATCGCTCCGTCCCACCGATGACAAAGCGCTCGAGTCAGTTGGCTGTACGACTGGTGCTGTAGGGTTTAGGGTTTAGATGGGTTTAGGGTTTAGCCGGCAACTTGCCATGCCGTGCTGTGTTTGTCACATGGAGGATTAACTCTGAAAGTCCATGGTACGAGTGGAGTTCAGGTTTGCTGAGCTGGCCCCATATGAAGCTGCCCACGTCGAGGAGTTTGCGGAGCTGATCTGGGAGGTTGCTGGGGGGGGGCCATGCGATGATGTCCTGCCTGAGGGTGTAGGGCTTAGGGTTAAGGGTTAGGGGGGGGGGGGGGGCGAATCCTAAAGCCGGCAGGCTTCTGGCTACGACTTGGATAAGGCACTTGGTTCACTGACAGATGGTTCGTACTCCCTGACCTCTGCATTGCAGCGCTGCATCTCCAGCTCACCACATGAATCGGGTGCGATTGGGCAGGCCTGGCGCTTATTCGATTACGACCAGAAGAACAAGATGACGAAGGAGCGCGGTGGAGGGAAGCCTGGCTTGGTTTGCTCGCCTGCTGCCATCTGCAAGGCGGACTTCGTCCAGAGTGCACAGCACCTGGGCTTTCGAGGCAATGCAGCCACGCCCCCGGTGCTCCCAAAGTCCACACACCCAAAAAAGGTCACAAGTGTTAAAACTCATACGTCGCTTCTTTGCAGCTTGCCTGGTTGGCCGAGGAGCTACTGTTCAAAGGTTTGGATGCAACCGGACTTGGCCTCCCGAATTCAACTTGTGTTCGTTGGCTGCCGTTAGCGCGACATTTTTGGAGTCGTTTTTCTTGAGGCTGGATTTGGCGTGATGACTTCGAGTACATCCCAAAGGCTGTTGCCGGAGTGAGATTCTGCGTGTGCTGGAGCTTCGATGTTCTGCTGCCCAGGTGTCACAGGTTGCCCGACAGAGACTGCACGGTGCTGAAGGCCTTGAAGCTTTGAAGCTCAGGGGCCTAGGACAGAGCAGCTCAGAGACATGTCTCATACCTCTCAAGTGCTGCAGGACCCCTTGCCACAAGCTCAGCGCAGAAGAGGGTGGCATTGTGCCCATGAGCCAGTCGATGGCTTTTAACGTTGTCAGGCCAGCCTGGTGCGCTTTGCCCAGCGTGAGATGGGAGGCGCTGAGGCCGTCACGAAAAGAGCACGAAAGGAGTCCCGTGGCATTGTATGGACGTCGGCTTGTGCAGGAGATGATTTCGAAGCTGGGACTTGGTGGTGCGCAAAGTGAGGCCGGACTGGCCCATAAGTGAGACACAGCAGCTTGCATCCCAAGAGTGTTGTGTGACGTGGCCCAGGTCACTGTTTGTGACCTGGCCGCTCGCCTCACCGCGCTCGGATTTGATGGGGATGCTCAGCGTGCAGCCGTGCATGCTGCAAAGCTGCTTGTGTGCAAGTTCAAGGGTCACCAAGCGAACAGCTAGCAGCCAGCTGCGAGAAGTTATACTCCGACTCTTCCAAGCACCAAGGTGCGACAGTGGAAGTGGCACCAAAGTTTCGGCAGAGAAGTTGTTCAAGATTCTAAGCGCGCAAAAGAAGGAGAAGCCCGGAGTATCCAACCGACGCGACCTCAGACTTGGCGCACGTGCAGTGTGAACCCAAAAGGGTTTTTCAGCATCGCTGGTGTTTGTCTTGGTGTTTGGTCGTTTTCAGCGAAACATAGTACGACTGGTGAACTCTGTGGCCAGAAGGTGCATTCAGCGGTTTATAAGTTCTTTGTTTCCTGAATATACATCTTGCTTTTTTCTTGGCTTGCTTGGTCTTGCTTACTTCTTGTGCTTGGTTCGCAAAGTGCCCCGCCCTGAGGGTGCCCAGTGCTGGAACACCGAGGTCTATGTGTCGGAGTCGCGCAGAATTCCAGTGCGCCGTGTATCTGCCGTCGTGGTGTGTCAGGGTCGTCGCTAACTAAAGGGGCGCATATCCGCTCCAATGCATCTTGCTGTCTTTGGGTGCGCGGCCAAGCCACAACAGCAAAACCATGAAAACAGCAGACACAAAACAAGCACCAACTAGAATTGCCCATGCTGTGTCTCTTTGGCTTCTGCCGGGTTTGGGACAAGGGATCCCAAGCGTCGTCATTTTAAATAAAGGCACACCCCAACGACGACGTCGATTGAAATCCCTTCTTCGAAGCTCTCCTATTGGGAGGCTCTCAAGAGCTCTCCTATTCTCAAGAGCTTTCCTACTGGGAGGCTCTCAACAGCTCCTTGGGATCTTGGAAGACAACGGGGAAAAACAGTTTCCCTCTCTTGCTTGCCCCAACCCAGGCCAGCAGAGATCTTCAAACAACATCGGTTTTGGTGTGCAATTCCAGAGTCGTGCCGCAAAAACGACGTCGTTTGAACTCTCTTGTTGTCCCAAACGACACATCGTTCTTGGTGTGCAATCCCCTCCCCCCAGTAGAAACTCTGGGGGTGTTTTTGTGGCTTGTTGGCGTTTTGCCGAGTTGTCCTCTCGCTGTCAATGCCTGCCTGTTTTGAAAGCCCGGCGTGACTGGTGCCTGTGTTTAGTTGCGAGCTCTTCTCTCTCCCCACTCTCCAAGGAGGTGATGTGGCAGCAGCTTCCCCGACTGTCTTCATGCGCAAGCGATCCACTGGCGCAGGCCTCCTCCCTGACTCTTTATTGCCTCCGTATGGAGCGATTTATAGTGCCCTTAAGAAAGAGGCCTAAAGCCAAAGATGTTGGCAAAGAAGAAGCCAGCATCCCCGGCCGCACAGATGCAGTTCACTGCATCATCACTCCTCTTTCACTCAGTTATCCTCAGATTCAACCAAATTTGCTAAGTCTGCCAGATGCAATCTTGGGAACCTGAGGCTTCGCAACATCCTCCCTGGAACAGCAGTGTGCAAGACCTTTGCGTTTCGATGGGGCCTGAGACACCAGACGGTCGGATTTGATGCGCCGCGTCTATCTCCCTGACGACCTCTGTATCCGTGTTTGTCTTTCGCCGTCCAGTTCCACCTTTCTACACCCGTCCAGGAACAAGCTGCATCCGAGCCTGCGGTTTTACTTCGCCGACTTCGACCCTGGTCACAGGGAAAAGAAGCAGGCATGGCATGGAGTGGCACTCTCTTCACGGCTCCGTCTTGCTGTTTTGGATGGGAGGTGGTTCCGTTAGTTTTTCTGATAAGCGCCCTCAGGCAGCTTGTCAGGCCATGAAGGAGGCAGATCGGAGCTCAGAATTGTGGCATGTCTTGGCGCGTCGAAGGTGCCATCCTTTGAGAAGCTGAGGCCAAGACTTCCTCCAAGTTTACGCCGCCAGCCAGGAGAGCGGACCAAAAGCCTGCAATTGCTGGCATATGAGTGTTCGTTCAAGTATCAATGAAGTCCATGCCAGTAGTGAGGACCTCTCACAGTAGCAGTGGCACAAGGTCCTCCGGAATGCGACAGGTGCAGACATGTGACGTATGCTTGCGCTGGTCTTTCACAGATTGCTGTGGAAAGCCTAAAAAAAGCTCCCGCAGAGGCCATTCATCCAAGCTGGGTTACGTCACTGCCAGCAGAAAGCGAGAACACGCCGAGGCCGTGCAGGCGCGTCCGGGAGCCAAATAGCTACAATGCCTTCTTGCGTTGGTGATGACTTGACCTGGCTTCTGTGTTCTTTGCTAGCTGGCAGGAGATATTTCGAGAGCGCTGAACACAAGCCGGTAAGGGACGAAGTGCATGACCTGCTACGAATGCGCGCGGCTCATGTTCCTGGCCTCCAAGATGGAGGCCGGTTGTTGGATTGTTCCCCACCCTCGGTGTGGGGTTGTTAGAATTTATTCTCAACTCTTCTCCTCCCCCGGAACTCTTCTCCTCGCCCGGAAGATCATCTGGAGTGCCCAACCCCAGAGACTCCCTGGAGTGCCCAACCCAGAGACTCCTAGAGTGCCCAACCCCAGAGTTTTTCTGGAGTGCCTGGCCGACTCCCTGGAATGCCCAACCCCGGAGCCTTCCTGGAGTGCCCAACCCCAGAGTCTCCCTGGAGTGCCCAACCCAAATTGTAAGCAAAAACTAAGAATGTGTATTTGAATCAATGTGTCTTTGTTTGAACATCTTATTTGCGCTCTTTCCTTTTTTCAGGAGGAGCAAAGTGGGGATGTTCGAAGTAAATTAGTCTCTGTGTGAGTCGTTGCGTCACAGCTGTAGTGCTAGAGAAGGCAGATGCAGCCGACCCACCTCATCCACCCAAATGTTAAGTCCTCGCGAGAGGAAACCGAGGATTGACCGAATGATGTCAGCATAGTCCCCGGACAGGGAGAGACCATGGGGACACGAAAGAGCTCTCCAATGGTCCTAGAGCACGTCCAAAAAGCACGGAGGCCTCTCCCAAGCAGTCTGGACCACACCCCGAGAGTCACCAAGCATTCCCAGAGCACGGCAGCTCTCCACACAAGACGAGCTAGACTGCTAGACGGGATGTAGCTCGCATCCGGCTGGAGTCGAGCAGCTGTGAGTTGCGGCCGACAGGATGAGATGCGTCAGTAGTTCATAGCCGGATACTCGGCGGAGAAAACGGTTTGTACGAAAGTCGACACTTCAGCCAGCCAGAGCTGCGGACATCCGCTCCTAAGCGACGTGCTATGTACTCGCCGACATGCGTAAAACACGTGCATACATGCCAAGACATGTGCGCCGACATGCCAAATTTAACTTAACGGAAACTTTGGATTTCCTAGAAGAGCCTAGAGGAAATAGATCGTTTCGCAGAGTCACAAGAAGAGCGCGAGAGAGCGAGAGAGAGAGAGAGAGAGCCTTGGGGCAGCCTCACTTCGGGGGGGTTATATAAGCGTGTGGGAGAGCGAGAGCGAGAGAGCCTGAAAACCTAGCTACCGAACTGTAGCAGGCACGCTATTGCCTTTTCTTCACCGTCACCGCGGGCCACACAGGAAACCCAGGGGGGGAAAACCAACAGAGTCGCCTTGGTGCATGCTTTTTCCCTGCGACCTCCATCGAACCTCTTCGCCCGCCTGTCCCCGCCTGTCTTCCATGGTCCCTTCACCTTTAATGTTCCTCACTGTCTTTCAGGCGGGCAACAGACTCTTCGGACATTCGAAGAAGAGAGCCAAAGGTTTCCTACATGAAGATAGTGGGAGTATCTGGAGGAAGTAAGGGTTGCTGTCAGCATTTATTGAAACTGCAGGTCTTCTGCTGCAGTGCAGGAAGCCAGCCAAAGCCGTCACAAAACAGAAAAGACCAGAAAATAAACTAAACCCAAGATATTCAAAAGGATATTCAATATATTTTGCATCTTGTGGCGACACTTCTGTCAGATCCCGGCAGCACTTTCCAGTTCGTGCCCTCAGCCACGCGACCAGATGCTTTGATGCATTAAAGCGCTCTGGCTTGGCCATCTCTTCACCGAAGCACTTTCCCAGGTGGTCCGCCGAGCGCAGTCGCTCCCTGTTTGAGGGTATGCGAAAGGTGGCGCTTTGCCATTGTTCATGTTCATGTATGCCAAGACTAGTTGAAGCCAGCTGGTTTTGGCAGTTTCACCCTGTGGGGCAGCCGGATTTTCATTCCATGACCTGAACCGCTGGACCCAAAACAAGCTCAACGCAACTGGTCGGGCGAGTGCTGTTCAAGGGCTCGGGCTACCCAGTCTGTGCTAGTAAAAACGTTCCTTACAGGAGACTTCGCATCCAACCGGCCACGACCACAGCAGTTGTCCGTGCCCCAAAGGGAGAATGCCGACGGGGAGAACTTGGCGTCGGGGATGGATCGCAGGAACGTGGAACCTGACGCTACTCCTGCTACAGGTGCAGGCTTGTCTGGTCACACCTTGTAACATCTTGTAAAATGCTGTAACATTGTGTGCGGCCTTTGCTGGCTTTTGTGGGTTCCTGACATGCCTTGGCAGGTTCCTCCTCCCGAACAGAATCGGAAGAGGACGAAGATGGCATCGAGGAGGTGGAGAACCCTCCCAAAAGGCAGCTGTCGAGGCGGCTGCTGTCCTAGCAAGTCTTCGCACCCTCAGCCGGAGGGTGGTTCCGTAGCCGTAGAAGAGCCAAGGTTCTCGTGGAGCGCCTGCACCCTAACAAGTTGCAAAGCCTTTCTCCATGTTCATCACCTGCCGAGCTCAAGCAGCGGTTGCAAGGCCGCAAGGGGCCGAAGGCAGCTTGATTCTCTGAGGAGTATCCCACCACGCCGCTTTACTTGGACGTTTCTGCAGGCAAGCCGAAGGCATTGGGGGTGGCTGGGCCCAGCTGAGATTTTGCCGCCTTCATGCCGATGTGATGCATGTGTCAGGCTCCTGGAACTGCACCGCGTATCGGAATCGACATTGGTGGTGTGACCGCCTGAACTTCTGCAACAGGACCGCATGAGCAAGCTGGCGCGAGACCTTCTGGACATCTGAGGTTCTGACTCGAGAGGGCGACAAGACCTACATGGGTTCCCTTGATGAGCTGGGCGCCTAGGGAACAAATGAGCCACCGTGAGGCGCTGCATGACCTTGCAGGCTGAACCTATCCGTATGCCTTGTGAAAAGGTGGGATACTTCTTGGGAGGCTGATGGCGCTCTGGATGCGGCCTGGTTCCGAGATGTTCTCGAGTTGTTCGTGCTAGGATGTGATAGGCTTGGAAGCCGGCTGCGCAGGTCCGGAAGATCACGCAGGTCTTTGGAGTGTCTGAGAGTCCCGCATATGGAGAACGGTGTTGCGGCAACTCATTTTTCAGGTGTTCGGACCTTCCAACACCTTCCTTGTCAGCAAGGTCCTGTGCTGAAAAGCTTCCGGTCTCATTGTGCTTCTGCAACCGCGAACTGAACTGGATCGAACTCGACCAAACTCGGCCCACGATCTGCAATCTGCCAATAACAGACGGCGGAGGTGCGACCAGGTGGTGCCATGCATCGGCGCATGGAGCAGTGGTGCACTGAGTGTGTTGCGTGAAAAAGAATGAACGTGCCGCTTCCGCGTGCCTTAAACAGCCACCCAAAAAGGTGGCTTCACGAAACCATGGACTTTTGCAACGTGCGCCTTTTGTGGTACAGCTCTGCAAGCCTCCGGGCCTCGTCTTGGTATGCCACACCCACGGTGTGGCATCATTTGGAACACCGCAGGTCACCGGAGTTCCCAAAGACAACATCGTCTTTGTGCGGGCCGTTGATGGGAGCCCCGCTCAGAATACCGCAGAATGAAAGGTCAGTTGAGCCACACTTCTTGCACATGCTTGCACACAAGCCTTGACAAGCCTTGCATCCCACAGGCCTCAGGGCAAAGGAGTTGTCTGCGAAAGGCTCGGAATTTCGCATTTTGTCGATGACAAGATCGAGGCCCGTCCCGGCTCGCTGGCGCAGGACGTGCACGCACACACACACACATATGCCAGAGGTGCTGAAGTCGGTGTTTGAGGACGAGGCCCAGTCTTTCGGCCGGGGTCAGGTATGCCGAAGCTGAAGCTGACAGATGGAATGCCATACCTCGTTTTGAGGTTCCAGTGTCTTGGACTGGGCTCAAGTCTGCAAGATAGCAGTTAGTAGTTGTTGCACCAAAGTGTGTGTCACCGAGTGTCACCGCGTGGTCCACCATGATGTCTAAATTACATTCTTAATTCGCGCCATGGAAGCGGAGACTGACCCTCCGCCCTTGCGGCTGCCCATCGAGAAGGTCGGGGCCGACCTCGAGCACGAGGCCAGCAGTGTCCAAGTTCAAAAGATCCGAACACTCAGAACACCCCCCCCATACCTTCCATGCTCCATGGAACTCTTTGAACTCATCTCGATTCCGACTTCTCTGCAAGGAACTCCAGGCCTCTGCCTTGGAACTCTTGCTCGAAGAGGCTGCCAGGAGACTCGCCCAAAAGCCTTCTTGAAAGAGATCCTTTGAGAGCCTTAACGAGAGCCTTTGAAAGCCTTTGAAAAGGCCTTGAGACATCCTTCAAAGCTTCATTTGGGCTTCTTTTCTGTTTCATCAGATGTTTCCTCATGTTTCAAACTCAGACCCCGAGAAGCAAAGAAGAGGCCCCCCAGTTGTCCACTTCCAAGGGCTCCTGCCGATGAAGCAGCTGCCGTGCAGCTGGTGCTGCAGGATGAGCCCGAAGGCTTTGAAGCTGCTCGGCTGCGATGCCTCCTTGCTTTTTTTGTTTTTTTTGGCATGGCGACACGAAGGCAACACGCCGACTGTTTTTTTTCTCAATCTGTTTCGCAAAGCGTACACGGCGTACACGGCGCACACGGCGTACACATGAGAGCAGAGGTTGTTCTCCGACCGGTTCCAGGATGCAAACTTGGAGTTCGTGTGACTTGCCTTCTAGTAGACTGTGATCTGTTCGGGTGTGGCCTTCTCATACCCAGCCAACGGGGCGGCCCAGAAATCTCTTCCTTCCAGTCCGCCCGTCGTGCTTTCACAATGGGAAGCGATCCAGGGCCTGAGGAGATGTTTATCGGGTGTGGGGACAGGTCATGGAGTTTGGCCACAAGCTGCTGGTGGCCTCCGTCCATGCGAAAGGAGTCGTGAGCAGCTGGAATGTGTCCCACCCGGACCTGTCCATTGAGGCTGGGCAGAAGTTGGATGGACATGTGCAACGGCTGCTCAGCATGTCTCAAACCCTGCGCGGCAGGAGCGGGACCTCTTAGTCCAAGTCAACCATGCCACGGAGTACTTCGACATGGTGCAGCAACTGCGGTTTTCGCAGGTGCTGCTTCTGAAGCTGCAGCGCCAGGACACCTGGACTGCCGGCAGTTGTATTGTATTCTGCGGGGTACTGGAACTCCACCCTGTCAGGAATCCATCAAGTGCCCACCTCAGTTTCCATCTCGTCGCAGTTTGCAGATTCTTTTTGCTTACAGGGCCTGATATCTGGAGAGGTCACAGATATTGCCCGTGCGCGCAACATGGGAGCCCCGGACGGGCACTGGCCAAAGTGCCTCAGATCTGGATGCTCGCACCTATTTCAGATGCCCTTCGCTCACTGTACCGGTCGAATACCCGTTATGCCCGCCATGCAACCTCCTGACGTGTGTAAGGACGCAAACCTGGCCCTTCGCGCTGTCACTGACTCGCTTGGGCCACATAGCCCATCCGTCTGGAAGAGTGCGGCAGGCTGCATCGTGGAGCACTTTGTTCAGCAAGAGCGGCTCTTTCTGGAACTTTACGGCTACCGGGTCCTCACAAACCGAACGTGGGCGGATGCTCCGATTGCAGGGCAAACTCCGATCCTGAACCTGAAGACTGCTCAGCACATCGAGCAAGCAGGCTACACCTGGTACATTATTTCCTGCGAGCTGGTGCTTTTCAAAGCCGGCATGCGGGACGCCTGGCAGCAGTTAGTATGGGCATTTTGCTCGTTTACTTTGCTGGATCGGCTTTGCAGAGCTTAGACTTCTCTTCTTGTCCTGCCGTCCTGCCTAAGGATGTTCTGAAGTGGGAGGCTCCGAGACGACTCGCCCAGCTGCGAGGAGACTTGCACGATCGGGTGAAGTACAGCATGGAGTTGACCGAGTACAAAGCTCTTTTCGAAGAAGCGCCTTTTGCACATGCTGGTGGCACCTGGGCCTTTTGTGACGGGGGGGGTGAACTTCTACTGCTAATTCTTGCTGGTATGCAGTGGATCGGTGTTGAACCTCTCTGATGAGCGGCTAGCAGAGGTCCGAGTGGCACCACGCTGCGTCTGTCGAACTGGTTGTCGAAATTGGCAACATCCATCAACAGCCTCAGCGTGACTCCAGCTGTTGCCGCCTTTGTCTTCACTTTTCTGCACGCTCCGCAACTCGGTTTGCCTAGCCATGCGCATCCATGCGCCATTCGGCACTTGCTGCGACATGCAGCATGCGCATTTGCATGTTGCCCAAGGCTGCCGTCAAATTTGGTGCATGACAGCTTTCATTGAAAAAAGTGATGCGCTGACAATCGTGGGCACCAGGGGGTCAATGTTGCTGAAGTGTTGCTGAAGCGCAGACAGGCATCATGGTTTCTTGAGTGCCAGGCGGGCAACAGCCGTCACTTGGTGGAACGCTTCCAGGCTTCGAAACTCGGCTCATGCAATGAGAGACTGGGCTCCGTGGCCTTCAGTCTGCGTCTGCCAGGGGCTCCTGTTCCACTTTGCAAAGGGTGGCCATACCAAGGCACGGCTGCAAGCCTGTCTTTCTTGTTCAAGCTCTGCGTGGGGTTCCTGACTGCCTCACGTTGCTGCCTGCGTTGTTTCAAGCTTGAGTCGGGCACCTCAGCAACCGGAACCGTCCGGTTCTCCGATCCTTTCCAGAAGCATCGCCACGTGCAATGCGGGCATGTTGAATATGTTGAACACCTCCTCAAAGAAGGGAAGGAAAGCATGCCTAGAGGGGGCTAGAGCCAAATGCGACCTACATGTATGTGCCGGGACATGCCGACGATCGGCTGCTGCACGAGGACGGCTAGAGCTCGAGGGATGGACCCGAACAAAGGGCAGAGCTGTGCGTGGTATTCAGTCCCAAAGCACTTCACGCACCGTGTTCGGGTTCAGAAGCAGAAGCAGAAGCAGACGAAGAAGAAGAAGAAGAAGAAGAAGAAGAAGAAGAAGAAGAAGAAGAAGAAGAAGAAGAAGAAGAAGAAGAAGAAGAAGAAGAAGAAGAAGAAGAGGAAGAAGAAGAAGAAGAAGAAGAGAAGAAGAAGAAGAAGAAGAAGAAGAAGAAGAAGAAGAAGAAGAAGAAGAAGAAGAAGAAGAAGAAGAGAAGAAGAAGAAGAAGAAGAAGAAGAAGAAGAAGAAGAAGAAGAAGAAGAAGAAGAAGAAGAAGAAGAAGAAGAAGAAGAAGAAGAAGAAGAAGAAGAAGAAGAAGAAGAAGAAGAAGAAGAAGAAGAAGAAGAAGAAGAATAAGAAGAAGAAGAAGAAGAATAATAAGAAGAAGAAGCAGCAGCAGCAGACGAAGAAGAAGAATAAGAAAAAGAAGAAGAAGAAGAAGAGGAAGAAAAAGAAGAAGAAGACGGAGGCTTGCTCGGAGCAAACAGAGTCGACTTTGTCTATTTTCCGAAGTGAGGAGCAGACGGCATGGCAGCCTTTCGAGTCGTGCCCTTAGGTGCCAAAAGCGCTTGTACCGGTGCCACTGGTGTCACGTGACGAGAGAGACGCCGAGATGCGCGCACATGTCCGACCTGTCCGGCTGACAGGTCTGAGTCTGAGAGCATTGGCCAAGAGGGGAGATCCGTGCGATCCTGGCTGCAACGGGTTCAGGTTGGCTGGCGTTCTGGTGAAACCACGGTGAAGCCATGCGAAATGCACATGTAGACGTAGACGACGTAGAACATGCTCTGGACCATTCGCTCATTCTAGCCTCGCTTCGGGCCAGGCTTTGGCCACACGGTCGGCTCGCTGGATTTTGCCAATCGTTGGGTGCTCAGTGTGGCGGCACCCAGCAGCAGATTCAAGTCCGACTTCTTCGGAGCATGTTGCCGAAGACTTACAATACATAAACAACTTCAGCGCACTTCTGCAGCGGAGCGACGCGGAGCGTAGCTGAGATGCGAGGTTTTGGTCGCTATCGTGGTGGCCGCCCGTGGACGTCTACCGGTGAGGGGCCAAGGCCGAATTAATCTTCACGAGACACGATGGAACGGCAGAGCCTCGGCGGAGCTGAGACTGGCGTGCTGGCAGTTTGCCTGACATTGGGACTCGGAGGACGGCCCTGCTCGGCTGACCAGAGCATGACAGCCTGAAACCAGTTCAGGATTCCTGTTCTCCGTGTCTTTGTGGATATCCCTGCCGGATCCTCAACACGCTGCCGCCCATCTCAGCACTTCAGTTTCGAAGTTGCCAGGAGCCGCCGAACCCAAGAGATCCCTCCAGAAGCCGCAGAGGCACAGACCCTGCCAAGCTTTGCCACGCGCAGTGTCGGATCGCTGTTGGAGGCCGTGGACCCTGGACTCACTTCCAACTTGCGGCGCTCGGATGTGCTGACTGATGCCTGGCTAAGCCTCAACACTTGAAAGGTAGTTGCGGGGTCACTTGGCTGTGGGCGTTGGCAATGCTGACCAGCTTTGTATGTGCGTTTTTCCTAGCAGTTATTATCTAAGCCGTGGACTTGCATTGACATACGCAATCTTGCACATGGTGCCGTGCCGAGCTAAGGACCGCATTGAGCAGCTCAACAGAAGGATTCTTGAAGTGGAACGGGCGCCAATGCTCGCTTGCGAAATCCATGTGACAGAACTGCGCCTGCGCCTTGAGGACGAGGATCTGCACCAGAGAAGAGTGGGAGGAGGCTGTCGAAATCAGTATGGCTGCAGACACCAAGTCCAGTCCAGTACCACGCAGGCCTACCTGCCAGAGCTCTCGATGCAAGAGAAGCGGGCATGGCCTTTGTAAGCCTTTTTTGTTGGGTAATGTCTGGTCATGCCAATTGGAACTCTAGGACCGCCTGATCCACCGTTGGCACGTTTCATAGGTTTCTGAACGCATCCAGAGAAGCAAAAAAATCCCAGGACATCCTGGGAGGGAACTGGCCCAGTCGCATGACCAGGGAGTGCAGCATTTGCCGGGAGCTCTATGCCAAGATGCCTTCCGTTTTCTGCTCATCTCAAGATGTTTACCGACGCTTTTCTGAACGTTGAGGTCTTTGCGAAATCGCCCCCGGCGCACGGGTGCGAGGGCTTGGCTGCGGACATATGCAGCTCGCACGCATGGAGCCTTCCAGAATGCGGCGTTGCTCCCCCGCGTTCAGGTTCCACCTCCAGTGCTTGGCTGATTGGTTTCTTCGGGACGCCCATTTCACTGCCCATTCTGAGTGCTGGACTTGAAACCATGGCAGTTGGCACTTTGGCACCCTCCTTTGGCGCCACAGGACGGCACGCTGGAGCTGCGGTGCCCTCTGTGCCGGGTGAGGCTTGCCGAGCAGCCATGCAGGTGCCCAAGATGTCTGTCCAGCTCTACAGTCCGTGCGCGTCTGTAGCATGCCAGACAGGCTGTCTATTCTGAGACCTCCTGCGACAAGGTATTCAATTGGAGGGGCTGCGGGGGTCAGACAGCTCAATCCTCGGAGCATCACCGCGGGCTTGTAGCACTGCGCAGGCTTGGATCTGTGCAAATCGAGACATGTTGGCTCCATTTCCTCCTGTTGGGCCCTTGTCCTCCTTCTGCAGCCACGTTCTTCGAAGCAAGTGTTCACCCAAGAAAACCTGGCATTCCCGTAAACTGCGCCCTTGCATGTACCTGACAGCTCGTATAGCTTGGCAAGTCTAAACCGTTGGTCAAGTCATGATAGTCCAACAGAGGAGGGATCAGCTCAGCAGCATGTCCATGCTAACAAGCACCCCCTCCTGTCATAGCCACAGCCCATCCTCCCGCGATGTTTGTGTGGCTGATGCTACATGGCGGTTGCTTCGTTGTCCGAGCCAGTAAGCCCGATTGCCGTGGCCAGCAGCGATGTTACTGCCACTCGCGTGCTGCCAGTACATGTCTTGATGACTGCATATTCAGGACTCGCTTGTTCCAATCCTCCAGGCCCAAATTTGCAACGACAGCAGTAGAAACCCCTGAAGTCCACTAGACTCCAACACTCCCGAGGTGAAATCATTTCCAGGACGCCCGCTGCGACAAAGCTTGCCGAAAAGGCAAGAACAGCTCCGCCTCGTTGCATCTCCAGCGACTTGGCACATGAATCCCGTCCGAAGATCCGAAGGCGAAGGCAACGAGATGTTGTGTGCCTTGCGCTCAAGGTGAAGGCCTCTGCCCTCATAGCTGAAGCAACAACTGCTCCTTAGAACGCATTTTCAAATCTTTCAAAGTTAGCTCCGGGTCCCCAGCCGCACCACAAGCTGATCAAAGGTGCTGCAGTCCCGGGCCAGCAGCGGCCACAACTCTGCGCCGACTCCGCGGCCCATCAGTGCTGATGCACGTGGGGCAGGTCATGGTCTGCCATTCAAGTTGTTCCCGCCCTAAGAGGGGCTTCCTGAAGTATCGTTTCCCCCCAAAGAAGCCTTGGATGCCGCCCCTGCCTTCAGCCGCCTTGGATGGGCATGGCGTTTTCGAGCGGCCCAGAAGCAAGTCCCAGGCTGGGCACGGAGATGGAGGGACTGTTGCCACAAATGTGTGTTCTTCGTCGTTTGCAGGGGCCGAGGCAGCCCGGAGCAAGGCAGCCTTGAGCTTAGTTGGCTCTGCACCTACGTTGCGTCAATCACCGGATGATCCTGGAACAGTTCCGATTTTGGCATGAGGGGGTTGATTTTGGCGTTGAGCCCCCGCAAGCCCAGTACGCAGGGTTAGCCTCCAGCTAGTTCTTCGACTCCCTGTGCTCCCGACCACCAGTGCAAGGACACGTGATGCAAACGAATACAACAAATCACCAAGCGTAGACCCCGAAGATTAGCACCACTTGGCGAGAGCATGGGAGGGGCCATGGTCTTTCATCCGACCAGAAACATCACTCGGCATCACGAGGAGAAGCCAGAAGCTTTAGTGGCCCTTAACCAGAAGCCTCTAGATCTTCGCTGCCATCCGGAGTCAACTGCAGGCTAGCCCGGATCGAGGGCGTTGTGACCGAGATCCAGCGAGAGCTCAATGAGGTCAAAGTTCTTTCGGATAGTTGCCTGCCACAGAAGCTAGACAGGTCCTGAGACAGTGGAAGTTGCCTGCAGTCATTTCTGGCGGTGTGCAGAATCTCTCGTGGACTTGGGGCTTGACAGATCGATGTGCAAGGGCTTAGGCTTAGTCCATCACGAGTTGCAGCACCAAGGCTTTGATGCGGAATCCGAGCAGGAGAAGAGCTACTTTGTACAACTGCCATCCCAGAGCGTACAACTGCCATCCCAGAGCCAGAAGACCCAGTCCACTTTGTTGGCTTGTGCGAACGTCCACGAGCCAAGATGCCCGTCCGTTGGTGGATTGGTGCATGTGGCAGGTGGCATTAGCCCTGCCAGCGCTCGCGCCAAAGTGTTTGGGTCATTCGCAAGCAACCATGGTGCTTCTACACTACTTCATCCGGCCGGCAACGTGAGCCCAGCATACCTTTATCCAACAGGGCCGTGCCCCACGCACAGCTGGCACAGGGAGCTTGAGGAGCGCAAGTGGCGAGCCAACGCGGAGCACATCCTGAAGATTGAGCATCCCGTTTGCGCTTTGTGATGCCCTATGATCCCTACGCATGAGTGCTTGAGGGATCACCCAAAACCAACCATGTAGAGCCGGTCATGGCGGACTTTAACCTGACTGGGTGACTTCCAGGTCGAGCTGGGCGCAGCGTGTCAAGGAAGCGGAGGAGGCTGCTGCACGCTCGGATGAGCGAGCGCGAGTGGCAGAGGCCAGAAACCGCTTGCCGCTGAGTTTGGCCTTTTGCGTTTTTCTTTCGCTGCCCTGGGTCGTCCAGGAAGCCCACGGCCGTCTGCTGCGTGAAAAAGCTGAAGTCGCCGATGTCGATTGGACCAGAGCAGTCGTGAACTCTCATGACTCACACCCCAGCAAACCAGCAAACACCCCAGAGCAAGGGGGACCCCAAACCATGACTTTCCATTGAGGTCCTTCGGTGTGATCCTGACATATTACCATCATATTGCCATCCAAGGCAGCCAAACTACGTGAGAAGCAGTTGGCCCAAGAGTTGGCCCAAGAGTCCGAGAACCACGCCTTGGTAGCAGCTCGCGAGACGGGTGCCTGGACCGAGAGATGATCAGAGATGATCAGAGATGATCAGAGTGGGCCGAGAGGGGATGCAAAGGGATGCAAAGGGATGTCAAGGCATGATACATGTAAAGGGATGGAAAGGGGTGTAAAGGGGTGTAAAGGGGCGCGCCCAGCCGAGGCTTTCAGGAAACCCTGTCAGCCCTGCAAGACCGCGCGGCGAGCGCGGAGAAGAAGTCAGCCGCGCGCGAAGCCGAGAAGGCCGCGAGTGGAGGGATCCCTGCTTTGGAGATGTTGAGATGTTGGGGACATGTCTTTTTCCGGGCCCAGCATCTCATCTTGCTTTCAGGCCGCCGTGGCCGACGAGCTGGAGATGGTTTCTGGCCGCTTTGAAGAGCAGCTGCAGCACAGCATGGAGCTGAAGAAGGAGGTCTCAAGGAGCCCCTAACTACTGGCCATGTAGGGCTCTGGGCTACGCATGGCTAATATGGCTACATGCCCTTCTCTTAGCTTCGATGTGCTGTTTTGTGTCAGGATGCGGGAGGAGATAGACGGCCGCAAGGCAGACGAGCCCCTTGTCAGGTTACATCTCAGGGCGCTGGTGCACTAGCCCCTTACCTACCCTAAACACATCTAAACACCCTAAGCCCTGAACACAGACACACACACACACACACACACACACACAGACACAGACGTCCGCACTCTCTTTCGAAGGAGTCCCGAGTTCTGGTTGCATCATGAAGATCTTACTACACAGAAGACTCGAACGTACTTGTTGAGAAGACGAATTGCCGAAGACACATGCTTGCATCCAGTGGGGGCCAATGGCCCTCACGACAGGCACTTTGTCAGAATTCCTGACACAGGTCCGCACCCTCTTTCGAAGGAGTCGTCGAGTGAGACATTTAACTGCAGGTACGTGAAGCGGGCGTCCCCAGCTCATATCACCAGCCACTCAGAGAGATCTTTGTCAGCATGGGCTCTCTAAGGGCCTTCCATCCCCCCTGCTTCTTATTATTGATCCTTTGCAATCAGGAGTGTACACACACACACACACTTACTTAAAATTCAAGTTCATGCGCCTTTAACTTGGTCACGTCCTTTGTTCGTTCATTGTTTATGTCGTCATGCATGTAGTTTTCTTAGTTTTTACATGAGGTTTACAAGGACTGAACGACATTGAAGCTTGGGAAAGTATATACTCCCAGAAGTTGGAGCAGAAGTCATATTACTACAAGCAAAAATGCCACATGTAACAAGCAAATTAGCATATTTTTAGGCTTATAAAGAGCGTATTAATCATATGAATGTGGGGCTCTACAAATAGTATTATAATACGGGCCGATAAACAGTATTAACAGATAAGAGCTTCTTAGAATGTAAGAGCCCAGGAAAAGATTACAATGTTGTAGCCGTGTATATTTATCGCTGAGGCGCACGCGCACGCGCGCGCGCACACACACACACACACACACGTGTACTTCTTGATTCATTTGACCGAGGACCAGGCATCGCGACATCGAGCGCGAGTGGAAGCAGCGGGTTGAGGAGCTCAAAGCTGGCTTGGCGACCGCTCGTGACACCATCCAAGCTCAAAAGATCCAGATGTCCAAACTGATACTTGATTGCGATTTTCGTCGTGGGATCTCGCGGTTGTGACAAAAGCGTATCGCCGGTTCGGCGATGCTAGTGCTGTTGAGTTGAGTGACTTCTGTCGGCTTTGCCGAGGAAAGCAGTGTCGGAGAAATCCGACGCCACTGCCGAATTGCAAGATGCAGTCGCTCACTGGAAGACTCAGCTTACGCAAGCGAATGCCAAGCTAGAGGAGCCGGAAGTGTATGCGGGGTTGCTTCGGGGGTCTAGGCTAGAGATCTTATTTTCTTGTTAAACTGTTTTTGTTAAATATCTTTTTTTAATCTACACCTTGGGTTTGGAACTGGCGCCCCAACCCTCCCATGAAAACAGCCGACCCTTCAGTGCATCCGACAGGTCAACTGGGCAGGTGGCAAGCAAAAGCCAAAAGCAGACGACCCTGTCTAACGACAGATCAGACGTTGTAACCGTATCCGTGATCCTTCGGTGCTCATGCTGACCTGCGTTCCCATGGCAAAACAAGCCGATAAAGCCTCATCGACGTCCATCCCAGAATCAAAAAGGCGTTGTGTCTCCAAGTGTAGGGTCAAGTCGTCCGCGTCCCAACGAAACAACATCTTTTTTTGCGGCCAAACAGCGCGAATCGGATTCGCCATCAAGTGGCGAAGGCAGAACGATACTCCACAGATGCTTTAAAGTCGATTCTAGCCGCTTCGTTCTGCGTTGTTGAAGGAGCAGTATCGGCTGACTTCGCACCTGCAGCAGAAGCTAACGTCCTTGGAGGATGACTTGGCGGAAGCGCAAGCAGCGCGCAGTGCGCTGAGCCAAGGCGGGCCCTTGATTGGCCAAAGCAGCCAGTCGGATGTGGAGCCCGAGATGCCCGCGGAGGCTGAAGCCCGCGTGGCTCATTCGCTTATGGTGGAGCTTCGAGAACAGCTTGAGGTGGAGCTGAATGAGAAAGAGTTGAGGCAAGCAGAGGTCTCGGCACTCACGCGGCAGCTGGAGATGTGCGATTCATTGAACAAAGAGCTGGATCAGGCGGTCGCCGACTTGCAAACAGACCTGGCAGCTTGCAAGCACAAGGAGGAAGCGCAGGAAGCAGAAGCGCAGCAGGCACAGTTGTGGCAAGCCCGAGCTTCTCAGCTTGAAGCAGAGCTGGACGCTCAGGTGAAGACCCTGCAGGAAAGCGTGCGACAAGTCACAGACTCGACGACGAAGATCAACGAATTGGAGAGAGAGCGGCAAAGCTTCGAGGAAACGACCGAGAGCAGCCAGCAAAGAGAGGCCGAGATGCAGAGCAGAGCTGCAGGTTTCGAGCGGGAGCTTGTAGCTGAGCAAGCCGAGATGTCTCGACTGCACGAGGAGCTGGCCGTCACGAGGTCTCAGTCAGCCGCGGCGCAGAAGCATGAGGATCATTTGCGACAAGAGCATCTGGCCCTTCAGCAGGCTGTCGAACAGCACATGGGGCTTGAAGCCGACGCAAGTGCCGAAGCTGCAGGCCTGAAAATGGTCTTGGAAGCAACGGCGGAGAAGAACATGCTTCTTGAAAGCACGACTGAGCTCATGAAGCAAGAGGTCGATGCTTTGGAAAACAAGTCAGCAGATGACGAAAAGCACATCGCCAAGCTGCAGCACCAGCTGGAGACTCTGGAGGATGAGATCGTCAACAGCAAGAAGCTCCAGGAAGCGCAGCTGGGCACACACGCTGACTTGCGTCGCGTGATGGTTCAGACGGAGGACCAGCTGGCCAGGTCCTTGCGCAGCGACGAGATGCAGCAGGAGTTGACCGCCAAGCTGCGCAGCTCCCTGACCTCTTCGGAGGTCAGCCTGTCCCAGTACCGATCCAACTTAGAGTCCCAGGAGGCCATGGAGTCCCAGCTGCGGAAGCAGCTGGACACTTTCCGGGCCGAGTGCCGGGAGCAAAACAAGCTGGCTACGGACTTGAGGCTGCAGCTGACAGAGTCCGAGGACGAAAGGAACGCGTCAGACACCGCCTTTCAGACCCTGCGGAGCATCGAGACGGACCTGCGCGGTCGGCTCACGCAGGAGGCAGACCAGCTCTCTGATGTGCGCTCCGCACTGCAGGTGCAGCAGCGCCACGACTGTTCGTGGCAAAGTTGTTCTTTGGTCTGGGGCTCATCAGCTAATTAGTTGCCTCTGCCAGGCCAGGGCCCTGTTTATTTGTAAGAAAGCGGTTTAAGGCTCCTGGATGCTTCAAGCCACTTGCTGTTTAGATGTTCGCGGAAAGCCATCTTTCCGACTGAGGTCCGTGAACACCCAGCTGGAGCAAAGCCTGGCCGCCACCATTTCTGAGCTTTCTCAGACGAGAGCAGACGCATCGATGCAGGACAGCGTGGCGCGGCAACTGGAGATGAAGCTGGAGCCGTGGCATGACACTTTCGAAAATGTGCAGATTGGCCCTTATCTGCCCCTCATCTCCCTTTGGGCCCTTTGGGGGTGTCTTCTTGTCGTCTGTGCGTGTGGCAAGCCGAGGAGGTGTCGGAGGCCGGCGCCGCCCGCTCGGAAGAAAGTCTGCAGCGGAACGCGGACAGGATGTCAGAGCTCCAGGAGCAAGTCACCTCACTGGAGGCCTCCCTGGGAACTGCTTTGTCAGCTTCCGAGCTTCAAGCGGCCGCCACCATGGAGCTGCAGCAAAGCTGTGCGAACTTGGCTGCAGCTCAGAGTTGAGGATAGTGATTCGGGTAGCCTGATAGCGACCTGCAATGTGGCACAGCAGTTGCTGTCCTTGGTCCTTGGCACTTTGAGGACCACCTTCAGGGGCAGGTACGTGGGCTTCAGTCTGAGCTGGTTGCAGAGGCCCAGACAGGACAGCAGCAACGCACAAGCGAAGCTGAGCTCAAGGACAGGGTTTGTCCATATTCGGTGATACAACGCTCTCGTGATCATACGTTGGGAAGAGAGGACCAAGCCGAGCATCTGCATGCAGAAGTTCTAGACCTGCGACGGCACAGCTCCTCTGCAAGAATCGAAGGTTGCTGACGTTTTGGCTCATGAACGGCCCCCGCCTGTTAAGATGCGAATTCGGTCATCCGTGCTTGTCACTGTTTGGCTATGCTAGGGCCTGTTCGGGTTTCAGTCGTTGTGTGAAGCACAGAGACCCCCACGGTTTCAACATGGTTCTGAATGTTTGGCCGGTCACGAAGCTGTGCTGACAACATCAACCAGGCAACCAGCGCGACAGCTGTCACAGCAAGCAGCATACAAGCTTGTGCAAGCACCACTCACTAATTTGACAGCCGCGACAACATGGTTTGTAGTGATGGCCGCCAGTGTCCTGACAGGTGAAGCAAATGAACGCCTGGAAGCTGCTTTGAAGGAGAAGAAGCTCCAGGAAGTGGAGCTGAAGCACAGCGCGGCTGTAGCTGAAGCAGAGATTGCAGGAGCACGCAACAGTGCAAAGGTGCGGTAGCTTGAACTGGAACGGGGGTGGTCATGCACTTGTGGAAGAGTCCGATTTCCATCAGAACACTTTGTAGGAAACTGCAAAAACATGTAATTTTTAAGGGGTGAATTGAATGTGATGTCAGTTCTGGCAGAAGAGCATGCTTTTTTTCTGATCGCTCGGCGGGAGGCGCAGCAAAAGCTGGTTGCTGAACTCAGAAACTGCCTTCGCGAGACGGAAGCGGACTCGGCAAGAGCCCAAACGAAGTTTAAGGAGACTGCACCAGAGCGTTGGACTGTGGTCTGTTTGTGGACCTTGGTGTGAGTTCTCTGCCCTTGCAGAGAAGAAGCGCTTGCCAGGATCAACAGGATCGGCTCGAGAGTCGTCAGCGAGACGCGGAGGATCGACTTGGGGCAGCCGCGGCAGAGCTGGCTTCTGCAGGTGAGCATGTGGAAGAGCTTCAAGAGCTGGCTGGAGAGCACAGGGCGCGCCCCTCGTCTGCGTGTTTTTCGTGTCTTGCCGAAGCTACATGGGGGTTACGAAGAGTAACTTTGCCGATTTTGCTGTTTCGGGAAGCATCGAGTTCAATTCCTGCCGAGGCTTGTCCGGTTTGGAAGGAGATTTGGCAAAAGCTCGCAGCTTGGAGAAGGCACACCAAGAAAAAGCGGAGGATTTAAAGTCGGACTTATCCAAGAGAGAGGCAGCTCTTCTGGAGGAGCTGGCTACTTCGGAAGCGCATCAAGCCAGCGAAACTGCTCTGCGGAAAGCCCTGCACATGCAAGAGAAGGTGCTGGCAGATGAGAGGGTGGACCATGATGTGGTCCTCCGACAGCTTGCCGAAAAGGGAGCTGAAGTTGAAGACCTGCAGCAACGCATTGCGGAGCTTCAGATGTCTCAACAAAGACTGGAGCTCCGCCTCCGCCAGACAGAAGCCAGCACGGATGCCAAGCTTCGGAATGCGGCTTCAATTGAAGCGTCGCTTCGAGAGAAGCTGCAGGACGCTTAGCTGAGAATGTGGGCGATTCTAAAAAATTTGATTGATTATGTCGGGCTATCATAGTACCCCATAAGACTTTGCGGGCGTGCGCCGTGCAGAAGGGAGGGAGCGCCAAGGACGTGTGGAGCAAGCTGGCCGCAAAGGCAGACTTGAGTTCGAGCCCAGAGATGCTTGATCCACTCGTCAGCCTCTTCGAGCAGAAGGACAGGCTGCACACAAACGAGCTCCTACTGGTGACATCCTATTCCTTTTGATGTATGTAGCAGGATTCCCCCAGTCTCCGGCTGTGTTCAGGCATCGAAGATCCGCAGGAAGGTCGCGGCAGCGATGCGGCGGGCTGGTGATGCGCACCACGCAGCTTTGGAGCTTGAGCTTTGGCGGGCATCGCAGCGCTGCCAGGAGTGGCTTGAATCTCCTAGGCATGTGAGAGCATGTGAGAGCATGGTAATTCAGTAAACGCATGTATAGACAAGTAGAGGGAGGCTGCGTTGGTCGACTAGCCCAGGTTCGAGCCTTCTGCGGACAATGGCCAGGACGGGCGCCGCAGCACGACAGGGCAGAATCTGTTATGGCCAGTCGCGCCATGCCATCCCAGGCCATGTTGCACTCCTTGCTGAACCGCGCCGCTGCTAGAAGAGATCGCCGCTTTGCAGCTCTGGCACCTTTGGAGGGTGGAGCTTTAGATTCTTAGACCCTCTGGATATACCAAGGTCTGGCACAAGAACTCCAAGAGATGTTGACGCAAGTGCAGAGCACGCTTCTCTTGAAGTGCGCGGAGGGCGTGGACGCAGGCACAAGTCTGGTTGACAGACCGTCTCAACAATAGGCTTTCTTGGAGCTGCCTCGCCTGCGAGAGACCCAAAATACTCTCGAATAATCTCCAGGAGAGCGATAAACTGTTAAACTGCTTGGGTTCTTGCGAGCCTAGCCAGGCTCAGATGAGGAGGAGCGCCTCGGCGATCATTGCTAGCGCTGCATCTAATTTCGGCAGGAGCTCTTCAGGGGACGACCGCAATGTGCCTGTCGCACCATTTTGCCATCCCATGTAGGTGTTTTCAAGAGAGCCCTCACGAAACCCAATGCTTTTACCCAAAAAAGCCCGCAAGCTCCCGACGAAGCTTTGCCACTTCGAGGCTGGCGGCTGAGCGCTTGGAGATGGACGCGCAACTGATCTCACAGGAGCTGCCGCTCCTCACGTCTCCGCCGCTGCAGGGCATCCCGGGGCCGGTCCTCAAGGCTGCAGAGGGGCTTTGAAGAGTTCTCAAGGTTTATTGAAGCTTATTGGTTTATTAGGGAGGGTTTGAGGGCAAGAAGGGGCTGGGTTCCAGGGGGGGAGGAAGATTAGCACGCATGGTGATACAGTATGCTATCCGTTTAGCATTATGTAGACCATGGGGAAGGGGAGACAGAGTCTCCGTTGTGCTTGTTTTCTTCGGTGGCTCATTGGAGGCCATGGCTGCACTCTGTGGGGTGTACATGGAGGGCGAGGAGGATTTGGATGGGCAGTATCCGATGCACTGGGCAGCGCGTCAGGGCAGGCAGATGTTTCTGCGACTTCTGCAATGCAGTGTTGTTGGAGTCACTGGCAAGAAAGTGCTGCGATAACAATGTAGGCGAGATGTCATCGAGTTTCTCCTGCGCTACATCTACGCGGACGAGGGGATGAATCAGCGCGACCCAGATGGGCGCACGCCACTCTTCTATGCGGAACGTGCTGGAAACGCCTCTTTGCGGCAGCCGATGTCGGTTTTTGAGCCTTTTTTTCTGGGAGCGAGCATGCCGAGGATGCGCTCGCACTGTTTCTGCGGGAGAGCGGATGCGATGCCAATCCTCAGGAGCTTGCAAATGCTGCCAGCATAAGATGGCCTGCATTCGTCGAGTCGCAGCTGCCCAGTTTGCATCTTGCGTGTGGTGCCCGCTGCGCCGCCAGGAGCCTGTCCGCAGGAGGCCCGCCACAAGCGCCATTCCAGATGCCTTTACGGCCGCTAAGCTGCAGCAGTTGATGCAGATGGTTTTTGTCGCAACCCCTCCATTGTATGAGTATTGTATGCATTGTATGCGTTGTATGCACTGTACGTGTATGTGCTGCATTCAGGAGGTGATCAAGGTGGTCGAAGAGAGAGGCCACGGCTGTCCTGTGGCCTCTGTGTGTCTGCGTATGTCTCTGTATGCCCTGTGCATGTCTCTGTCGCAACACCTTATGGCCTGGAGTCCTTGCGACCTTCAGCAGGCTGGCACGCAGTAAACTGGATGGAGGGCTTCACGATGCTCCACTGGGCGGCTGAGAAAGGTCATGCGGATTTCTGCAGGCTCTCGGGGTAATTACATGATGGGGTCGGGCTCCTTGTGTTTTTTTTTATCATGGGCGAGATTCATTGTGTCCACATGTGCACTGTGGCATCTTGTGTCTTTCTACATGGGGTATAGAGCCGATGCGATGCGCACAGTTGAAACCTTAAGTTATAAAAAGTTGAAAGTGTTAAACTGTTTTTCAGACTTCTGTGATTTGCAACAGTCTTAAGATAATCAAAAACCTGAAATATAATCAGCGCGTTTCACGTCTTCCGTAACCGCACGTCTGGCCTTTGCTGATAGCGGATGTGCAAGGTCAGCTGTGGAGCGGGCCGAGCCTTATGCAAAAGGTTAGATGTGGAGCTGGCCAGTGTAAGTTTTGCGTTAGTGAAAACGCGAACATTCAACATCAAGACCGTGGTCGGCTCCGTTCCCCTAGAAGCAAGGGCTTGAGGTTTGCTCAAGAGTCGCACATTGCGAAGAAAGTTGATACAGTCTGTCACAGACGACTGTCTCGACACATGCTTTGCATGACCATGAGCTGTCTGTGTATGGAGGTGGCCCTGAGATACCGACAGCTACATGATGACTCGAAAGAAATGAAACAACATGAAACAAAAGGAGAAATCGCCACCTGCTCCATGCCACAGGTACTTTGTGGAACTCAATGCTGACGTCAATGCCGCTGACAGTCGGGGGCTGCCTGATAGCAGAGACGGGAACTTCACGCGACCGCACGATCCAGTACTCACATTGCTGGTGCAAGGCGAACTGCCCTTCAGTGCGCCATGGACTCAAAGAACATGGAAGCTGAGCTGGTGCTTCGGGAGCTCATGGGGCTTCCGCGAGTGCGACTTATCTGTTCATCTCAGCCTTGTTGCAGCATCCGACACTGTTGGCAGCCGCTCGCTTAGGACAGAGGCCCGATGCGCCAACGAGGAGGCCTAAGTCAGCAGCCTGAAGGGTGCGACATGCTCGATAGGCTCAACAGCCGAATGTTGAAGTCAAGTAAATTTTCTTTGTTTAGCTAGCATGATCGATGTGATATGTTCGGGTAAGCCTACATACGCAAGACTTCAGCTTGAAAAACAGACGCCTCCCAAAACCGTCTGCAGGAGCCACTGGAGATGCATGAGATATCGTGCCGTTCTCATTGACCGGATGCCTGGAAGAAATGATATTTGATGAACGGACTTGTGGTCAGCTTGACAGGTCGTCTGCTCCCACTGATCATGGTGCCGGAATTCCTGCGGCATATGTTCGTCACGTGTCTGCCGGGTGATTCTTGTATTCTTGTACCTCCAAATTACCCTTGCAACGATGGTAGCCAAGGTGTTATGCAGCAGATAGACTTGGTAGGTTGGGACAAGATGCAGTGGGCTCGTGGGTTCACACTGCTACATTGGGCAGCGAAGCACGCACATCAGCTGCGATTGGGATTGTCTGATGGTCAGCGAGCAGTCCCGGACAAGCGCCTCACACAGCTTTTGAACCAAGGACAGAGCGGATCTTTGTGATCTTTGGTGCAAGTTATCAGCAAAGGCGGTGTGTTCGTGTGGCGTTTTGCTTGTATATGCTTTCGGTTTTATTGTTGAATGCTCCCTTTTTGCTTCTGCTTGGTGGATCAATGGCCAGCGACTCCCAGTAGCTAGCAACCTCAACCTTTGGGGGCATGTTGTTCACATGCCGCGCACTGCCAAGGAGCTTTTCTTGTGGTATGGAGCTGACCCAGACCACAAAGACCAGGCTGGCCATTCTGCCCTGGACTACGCCAGACTCCGGCAGCCACAAGCTTCAGCCGCCTTGGAAGCATTGCTGCGTGGTAGCTTGGTGGAAGTTACTTGTTTCGATCTGAATTTGGACCACATGGTCTGAGAACATTCTTTGTCGCAGCCTGAGGCAAACCATCAATTAAGCCTGCAGTGTGCTGAGCCGCTGCACAGACATGACAACCTCGCTGCAGCCCCTAAAGCTGTGCAAGCAGCCGTGGCCGCGAGTGCGCGCGACCTTCCTCCAGCCTTACGCAGAGGTCTGATGGAGACAAAGCCCAAACGTTTGCAAACTTGCATGTGTGTGGTTGAAAACAGCCGCAAATTTGAACCAGCACTGCATCAGTGCCAAAGAGTTCACGCTTCAGGACCATACATTGGAAGATGTGTGGAGTCTTGTAGTCCAAGTAGAGAGTGTTCAATGATGAGCCCAAGACACATTATTACAACACACGTCCTCATCAGCTTTGTTTGGTATTGGCAGTTGCCGCTGAGAATGAGAAAGAAGCCACTCAGCTGTTCTTCATGAAGCCTGCTTGATCGGGGGGCAACGATGAATGCGGAAAGAGTGCTGTTGGGAAGTCAGCAACAGGAACTTCGCCTGTGCACCAGTGCTGCCTCCCTGCCTCCATCATATTAAAGTCACTGCAGATCTCGCCAGCCGTGCATATGTGGGTATCTCGTGCTGTGCCCATTCATATCACCAATTATCACTACATATCACCGCATGGCCCACAGGCTCCATCAGGCGGTGCAAGCAGATGGTGATGGTGAGCTCAGGATGCAGAAGGCAGTGACCGCGCAGCTGCGCAACCAGGCCTGGGCTTCAGAGCATCAACAGTAGCTGCGTTTTGAAGCCTGACATGTTCTCTTGCATCTCTTGCTTCTATACGTTTGGCAAGTGCCAGAGATCCCAGCGTAACTTCCACACTGGGCAGCACAAGTGAGTCCGATTCCGATGTGCAGACCGAAAAGGTACCCCGTGGGCGATGCTAAGCCTGATCCTTGTGCTTCACATGCGACCAGCGCCAAGGCTGTCTGATTCTTGAGAATGTGGAGGAGCCGCTGGAGCTGCCTCAGTGAGCTGGGCCTGCGCGGCGCTTTGACAGTTGAGCACAGCAATGGCTGAGAACGCTGTTGCCTGCAGCTGGCAAGTGGCTGCATGCGGTGGCAGCATGCTGAAAAGCATAAGCATGCTGCAAGACCGCGAAGGCTGCCCAAATATGGGTGGCAACTTGGGGCATTGTGAACTAGGTGATGGTAGTCGCTCGGGGAGTTGCCATCCGAACATCTGTAGACGACAGTCCGGAACCAGAGGCGCGTGCAGCTGACAAAACATGGTTTTGTGGGTTTGCGAAGCATATTGCTTCGTGCAAAGTTCCGTGGATACAGTGATGTCAGGTGCCTCCGGTCGTTGACACTAGCCATCTGTCGCCGATCATGCGCCGACACTACAGGCATCGCCCCCGCTGAGAGTGTTTGCACATCTTGCCTTCCACTCCGCGGCACAGGCCCGCGGCGAACTGGGCCCAGGCCATCAGAGAAAATGGACTGGAGCTATTCAGACATGTCGGTGTGAGTGTGTGAGTGTGTGTGTGTGTGTGTGTGTAACCTGCTGTACATGCAGGATTGGGGTCACGCCCGTTTTGCGATTTCATGCAGCGGGGGAGTGAGCCTGCTACCATCCACTGCCCAACGAAGACGGTGGTAGCATGACTGTGATATCTCTGGGGGACGCCCCGGAGACGTATCTGCAATGTCTGTGATCTGTTTAGTATATGTGCAACATCCTTGATGGCAACACAGCTAGTGTGCAATCATGGAGGGTCATGCTTTTTGATGTTTTTGAGGGTTCTGCGATGCTTGATGTTGTCCAGTCGAAGGTCCGTCTCGTCAGTTCCAGACAAGTCAACACGTGTGTGTGTGTGTGTGTGTGTGTGTGTGTGTGTGTGTGTGTGTGTGTGTGTGTGTGTGGAACACCTTAGTTCATAGGTGAATGGGGTCACTCCCAGCTTGTCGAATTTTGCTTTCGCTTTCACAATGCAGCAGGGGCATGGAGCACTCTCTGGCTTCTCCATGCAACGAAGCCATGCCACAGCGTGGGAAGGATGAGCTGATCACTCATCTGTACCTGCAATTGGATTAGCCAGTGGGCCCCCTGTGGCACTGGACACAGCATGAGTGAAGCAGCATGATTGGTTTGAGCATTCAGCTTTGGTGATTCGTACAATGCAGTCAACAATCTACATGATGATAACATCGAGCTGTTGGTACATGAGTGCAGCATGTTTGAACTTGTGATTCAACAACCCCAAACCCAACCCCCTGGCGATCTCTGCAGTTGTCTCATCCATCTGTGTGTGTGTGTGTGTGTGTGTGTGTGTTTGTCTGTGCGTGTGTCTGTGTCTTCGAGGTGTTGGAGCAGCTCCGTCAAAAGCCACCCCTTGGTCTTCACCAGCCTGGCACCTGGTTCGTTTGAATCGTTCAGACAAACAGGTCGTTGGCATTCCGATGTGAGGTTGGTGCACCTGCTGACGCCTCCGACACCTAGGCCTGGCTGCAACCGAAACCGGCTCTTGCCTTTCTTCGTTAGTGTTGAGTGTTGCCTATTGAGGCAAAGGCCGCAACCAGCGCCGAGGGTCGCAGCCTGTGCAGCAGTGCAGCATATCAGCATATCTGTACCGCCAGGATCTTCAACGAGTCTAGTCGCTCCAGTTGCTGGGAGTATGCTGAGATGGCAAGGTTGATGCACGACCCCCTGGCCCATGGGAGCGGACAGTGCGCTGTGCACAGTCTTTCGTACCTCGTCAAGCTCCGAGCACAAGCACGGCAAAAGCACGGCAGGCGCAGCCAGCCGCAGCTTCGAGCCAGGCGTTCGCGGCCAAGCTTTCTTTAAGGGTGGTGAATCTGACATGTGCGTTGTCATGGCCAATGTGATCACTTGAGGCCTGCGCTTCAGTGGTCCAGCACGGGCCGACCAAAGTTGGTGGCGTTGCTCAGTCCCGCTGATCCCGCAGCTGGTGGAGTTGCTGAAGCTCTTTTGCTTCTGATTGTGACAACAGTCAGGTGCTGAAGCCTCGCGATCCTCTGTTGGGTCCCGTTGCCCCGGAGGTCCTTTGCGGTGCTCCCTGTCGTAGCTCGTAGCCCTGTGGTTTGGGCTTGCAGGCCGCCAAGTCCGTTGGCGAGTTACCCAATTCCCAACAGCCGCAGGCTGCACAAGCAACACCACAAACACAAATGCAGCAAAGGCCCGTGCCTTCACCACTATCGCAGCAGCACGTCTCGATCTCCCAGACACAGCTCGCTCAGCCGGCCGTGTCGCCAAGCAAGCCATGCACCGCAAAGCCGCAGCCACAGCAGCAGCCCATGCAGCAGCCCATGCAGCAGCCACAGCAGCAGCCACAGCAGCAGCCAATGCAGCAGCCACAGCAGCTGCAGCAGCAGCAGCAGCCGCAGCAGCTACAGCAGCAGCCGTTGCAGCAACCACAGCCTGCAGCTCGTCAGGCTCAGCCCCAAACAGTGGCACCTTGGATTGAGTAGAAAGATCTGCCACGGAGATCCTTCAACCGAACCTTTACACTTTTCACCCAGTAGATCCAAGTAGCTGCTTCGAGGTCGTTAGCGCCGTCCACGCCGCCGTGCAGTCAGCTGCCCAGCGACTAATGCCCAATTCATGCATCCATGCATCCTATCAGAGATGAATTGTACAATAAGCATGCCGCACGTCGGTGGCTGGTGGCTGAGCGCGGTGTGGGCTGCAGGAGTGGCGCCGTATCCCCCAGTGGCCGGCCAAAGCTGCAGCTGAAGCCCCGGAACCCAAGGCCAGCGAGGGCTTCACCGGAGACCTTGCTACGATGTAGCGTCCTAGTCCAGCATGCAGCTGTGCGAATGTGCTTGAGGCTGGGCGCCCCAGGTGAAGACGAAGACCCTCGGCTTCGAGAACAGGTGCAAGGATGGGAAGGATAGGGTCTTTCCGAAAATGGCAATGCCTTGCAGTGGCAAGGTAGCGCGCGACAGGAAGCAAATGGAAGCATCTGGAAGGGTCATGTGAGACGTGTGGCCTCAACACACGCAGGGGCCAGCGCAACGACTCGGGTGGGTGGGGTTGTGCAGAGTGTTGGAGATGCTGAGGCACCCGTTCAAGCTTCGTCGGCGCCATCTTCCTCGCCGCCAGCCGTGCCAAGCAACCAGCCTCGGCAACAGCCACAGCAGCAGCCCATGCAGCAGCCACAGCAGCAGCCAATGCAGCAGCCACAGCAGCTGCAGCAGCAGCAGCAGCCGCAGCAGCTACAGCAGCAGCCGTTGCAGCAACCACAGCCTGCAGCTCGTCAGGCTCAGCCCCAAACAGTGGCACCTTGGATTGAGTAGAAAGATCTGCCACGGAGATCCTTCAACCGAACCTTTACACTTTTCACCCAGTAGATCCAAGTAGCTGCTTCGAGGTCGTTAGCGCCGTCCACGCCGCCGTGCAGTCAGCTGCCCAGCGACTAATGCCCAATTCATGCATCCATGCATCCTATCAGAGATGAATTGTACAATAAGCATGCCGCACGTCGGTGGCTGGTGGCTGAGCGCGGTGTGGGCTGCAGGAGTGGCGCCGTATCCCCCAGTGGCCGGCCAAAGCTGCAGCTGAAGCCCCGGAACCCAAGGCCGGCGAGGGCTTCACCGGAGACCTTGCTACGATGTAGCGTCCTAGTCCGGCATGCAGCTGTGCGAATGTGCTTGAGGCTGGGCGCCCCAGGTGAAGACGAAGACCCTCGGCTTCGAGAACAGGTCAAGGATGGGAAGGATAGGGTCTTTCCGAAATGGCAATGCCTTGCAGTGGCAAGGTAGCGCGCGACAGGAAGCAAATGGAAGCATCTGGAAGGGTCATGTGAGACGTGTGGCCTCAAACACGCAGGGGCCAGCGCAACGACTCGGGTGGGTGGGGTTGTGCAGAGTGTTGGAGATGCTGAGGCACCCGTTCAAGCTTCGCGGCGCCATCTTCCTCGCCGCCAGCCGTGCCAAGCAACCAGCCTCGGCAACAGCCACAGCAGCAGCCCATGCAGCAGCCACAGCAGCAGCCAATGCAGCAGCCACAGCAGCTGCAGCAGCAGCAGCAGCCGCAGCAGCTACAGCAGCAGCCGTTGCAGCAACCACAGCCTGCAGCTCGTCAGGCTCAGCCCCAAACAGTGGCACCTTGGATTGAGTAGAAAGATCTGCCACGGAGATCCTTCAACCGAACCTTTACACTTTTCACCCAGTAGATCCAAGTAGCTGCTTCGAGGTCGTTAGCGCCGTCCACGCCGCCGTGCAGTCAGCTGCCCAGCGACTAATGCCCAATTCATGCATCCATGCATCCTATCAGAGATGAATTGTACAATAAGCATGCCGCACGTCGGTGGCTGGTGGCTGAGCGCGGTGTGGGCTGCAGGAGTGGCGCCGTATCCCCCAGTGGCCGGCCAAAGCTGCAGCTGAAGCCCCGGAACCCAAGGCCGGCGAGGGCTTCACCGGAGACCTTGCTACGATGTAGCGTCCTAGTCCGGCATGCAGCTGTGCGAATGTGCTTGAGGCTGGGCGCCCCAGGTGAAGACGAAGACCCTCGGCTTCGAGTTTTAAAAAGGACCTTCTTTCACAAAGTTGAACTGAGATGTGGGGTGTGGGGGCTTAACACCAACGTCCCTAGCGTTTGCAGGGCATGGCCACAGTCTTATACCCACGTGCAGTCGTAGACATGGCCGAAGGCTTGTTTGGTGGAAAGGATGGGTTTCATAACAGCAACTAAGGGTGATATTGATACTGCTAGTAGTACTGGAAAGCCTAATCACATGAGTAAAAAACAACAAAACAAACAAAGACTAAACTAGCAGAAACGAATCTTCCAGGCCATCCCGCAGGGCACGTCAGTGCCCGCCTCCCCGCCTCTGGCAGCGCAGCCGGCGCCGGCATTGCCGGGGCCAATGCCAGCTGGGGCAACTCCATCCGCACCCCCGGTGCCTTCTCTCATCACAAGGGGAAATTGTTCTGACTGTCTTAGTTTTTGATTGTTTTCTTTTTGGGCGGGGGGGGGGGGGGGGAGAAGAAAAGAGTCTCCTGCGTAGATGTTCACGTTGACGTGTTGGGTTGTTCAGGGGCCTGCTCTTCAGCCGGATCCTGCCGGTGGCAGGCCGAGGCCGGGTCCTCCTGCAGATCTTACTTGAACCGAGTTTCCTCCTCTTTTTGTTTACAAGATGCATCTTCATTCTATAGCATTCTTGTTTCCGAAGATGTTGTTTTGAGTTGTGCGTTTCCCATACCTTTAAGAAGGGCTCAGATCGAACAACCTGAGCGGTTCAGAGTCTCTTCCACTGCTTTGCCCATATGCCATAGCCGTGTCTATCCACAGGCTCAGGGGGCGCCAATGGGCGCCACAAATCTGCTTAAAGTCACTCGTGACAGAGTCCTTCAAGGTGTCAAGGACCCTTGATGCCATGCGCAAGGCTGGTCCTGAAGAAGCGCTCCGAGCCTCCCGCAGCGGTCCCGGCACCCACGACTACGGTCTGCGTGGGGACCCCTGAGGGCTCAGGCGACGCAGTGGAGGCAAGCACTAGAGTCATTAGACCGCGCTCCATGTCCATACCCTTTCTGCGACTAGCAAAGCCCCAATTTAGCTCACTTGCCAACCCAAATAAGACCCCGGCAAAAACAGTGTCCGGCTCCAAGGTGTCCCCAGTGCGGAGAGCGTCTCTGGCACCCGACTCGGCCACACATTAGTGTTTAGGGCGAGGTAGAGTTGCCGCTGGGAGAGGCTTGAAGTGACAAATTTGCCGTGCCTTGCCCTCACCTCAAACTTCGGTTGGACCTAGCCAGAGACTTATTGTTAGGGGAGGCACCCATCCAAAACTGCATGCCTTCGACTTTTGAGCTTAGAGGAGGAACGCTCAACTGGAACTGGAGCTTAGCACTCCAGCCTAAATTTGCCTAGACCGCAAGCCAGTCAGGTAGAAGAATCGGCATGTGATGCAGAAATGAAAAACGTAGGCGTCAAATTCCACAGCATGTAAGACTCTCGCCATGGAGAACGGTCGGGAGGAGTCTGATGATCCGACTCAGCTCATTCTTCGGCGCAAGGGCTTACGCGATTTGCAGTCGCTGCATTTCCCACACAGGGCTACTTTGCGAGTTGTTTCCCTTTCCCACAACGCGCTTGAAGACTTAGGCCCCATTTCGACACTTGAGTCCCTGGAGGAACTCAATGTGAATCACAATCGCTTGAGCGACCTGAGCCCACTGGCGTCTTGTAACATGCTCCACGTCTTGCTGGCGGCTAATAACAGGGTGACCACGGTGGCCGGGCTGGAGGTGCTTCCCCGGTTGACAAGAGTGTCGCTGTACAGCAACTTGCTACCAGACTTGGATGCCTTGATCAACGCTTTGGCAGCATTTGGACGGTTGACCTCGCTTGACCTTGGCGGCAACCCGTGTTTCCATGATATTGCTCACAGACACAGCGTGGTTCGTGCCCTACCGGGCCTGAAGGAGTTGGACGGTGACGTGCTTGCCAGTGTGGACAGGCAGCTGGCCACCGAGTTCTTTGCTTGTGCCGAAGAAGTGGGCCTCGAAAGGCGGCCAGGCAGTTCCTACGGGCTCCGGCCGAAAACCGCTCCCATCGTCACAGGTGCGCAATCACATCGGGAGGCCTCGCAGGCCTCGTCGGCCCGCAACAGGTCCAGCTCGAGGAGACCGAGATCTCGAAGCAGCTCCAGGCCACGATCTGGGTCGCCAGATGTGGGCTCTGAGCCTTCGGCCCCTCCTGCTCCAGTGCTCACGGCTTGCGAGAACTCGTGGGAGGATGTTGAGAAGTTCCAGGAATACACCAAGGCTCTGCAGCTCCGTCTGCAGACGATGCAGGTGGAATGTGAGAACCTCCAAAAGCAGGTTCAAGGTCTCCGCCGGGAAGCCACAGAACCGATTCTTGGAACAGCTACTCTACGAGAACGCTTGAGTGAGCTAGAGAAAGCCAACAAGGCGATGCATGACACGGCAGCCAAAAGCAGACAGATGCGCTCGGCGCTGGAGGCACGAGAAGCCGAGCTCGCGCGCAGAAAGCAGGCGCTTGGCCATCTCGGAAGTGAGCGTCCAGGAACAGCCCGGACACTAGCGAGGCCCGGTACTGCACAAGCAGCCGTTGAGTCGGCGTTAATCATTTCGCAGCCGGCGACACTGGAGGGCTACAAAGCACGCTGCAGCGCCCTCAAGCGCGAGGTGGAGTTCGAGCGTGAGCGTACCCTACAGTTGCGGGCAAAGCTGTGCTCCGAAATCGTGGGTCGAGAGATCAGCCCGCCTCCAAGCACAAGAATATAGCCGACATAGCGCAAGAACATCCTTCCGGAACATGTTCCCGCAGCTCCAATGTACAGAGCATGCGGGACTGCCAAGTAGTGTCTCACTTTAATCGGTGCAATCCAGACCAGTCACCAACTTGCACGAAACTTGAGAGATGACATGATGATCTGGCAGATTCTGGCAGCAAGGCTGAGCCACAGACACTCCAATTTTCATGGACAGGTGGGCGCGCCATCGTTTCCACAGCCGACGGTGGAGGTGTGCTTCTCTCCTGTGACAGCATGGCGCATATGTGAGTTTTCGTGCAGGCGGCCAAGCCAGGACCACGTGCGACGTGCGTCCCTCAGAGGTATCGAGAGGCTTTTTTGCATTTTTGGTGCATCTTGCTGCCTGAAGCCCTGGATCCACGTAGCAGAGCAAGCGACCAAGTGCTTGTGTAAAGCCTGCGCCAGGTCTCCGGCCCCGGCGCCCATCGTTACTCAGCAGGTGCTGGGCCAATCATCTAGCCTTGCTCTGTATGTCTCGGCTTGATGAAGTAACCTCCGACGGGGGAAGCTTGAACACATGTGGTCAAGATGCGATGTGACACTACTCCAGGCTGAGATTCCTCAGATGCTGCAGCCCAAGTGCGAGAGTACTGCTCAGATTCTCTGTGGCTGAGCATATCTCAAGCATCCCGTCATCTTGCGCTTCCCATGCTTGCTTGAACGTAGTGCCCGCACAAGCATCTTGGAATTGGTGGTGCTGTGGCTTCTAAGGCCTGGACCGAAGCCCCAGTCGATGAAGGGCGGGGAGTTCGTCCAGCAGGCTAGAAGAAGCCGCACATCTTGAGACATCATTGTCAGCCATTTGAATATGTACACACCTAGGACCTGAGCATCTTTAAGCTTGGCAGTGGGAGGGAGCCCAGAAGAAACCCCGGTCAATGAAGTGCAGAGTCTGCTGAAGGCTGTGGCTCCTTCAGCGGCTGGGTGTCCGCCCGAGTTGACTACTGATAGTCATCATAGTCTGATAGTCACCTCATGATACCAATATCAAGCCCCAGCAACCATTCATGTTCGAGGGACAATGGTGCCCCGCCAGGCCAAGTGCGAAAGCCGGCCCGGCCCTGCAGAAGGCCTCAGAAAAAAAGCATACCCTTCGAGCCGTCTCTTCGTTCTTTTGTGGCTTTCTCGCTTTTTGTTGCCTTCTCCAGCATTCCTACGCTCCATGTCGCTTCGGCTCCATTTTGATCCTTCTGCTTGCGGGCACGTGCGGCAGGATCCCGGCGGTGGCCGTCCAAAGCTCGTTTTGAAGCCTCGGACTGTGCCAGTCCCTGCAGGACCCTAGGAAGTCTACGGCCCTGCTTTGGAGTATTTCAACACACGGTCGAGTCTCGGTAATGTCAGAAAGGATGCTTATGCAAGAATGCATGCAATCCTGTTTTTCCTGGCCACCCCGCTGCCAGCCATGAAGCAAAAGGTCCGCTTTGTGCTTTGCTTGTGTCATCCGTTCTCGTTTATGCGTAGTCTTTGCACGTCGCGTTTGCCATGGGCATGGGTTAGGGGCTGTTGCCATCTGTTTCCAGTGTCCTGGAGTGTGGCCATGCTGTATTCTCGTCCAAACTGCCTCAAGATTGGTTGTCCGGAGTGCAGATCTGCCACAGCCACGAGAGCAATGTGGTTACTTCTGCTTCTTGGCTTGGGTGTAACGGCGAATGACTTGGCTTGCAGCCTGCAGAGGCCTCACTTTGGCAGCTTGGAGGCTGCAGGTCAAGCCGGACCCAAAGAATTCGGGGTGGCAACGGCTAAATCTTCTGATGCGTGGACTGTTCCTGGTTTAGAATTCCGAAAGTGTCCCAGGATCAAGGCGAAGAAGGAGAGGATTGCCTTGATGACCACTTCGGACCCTGGCGAGTTGCCACCAAAAGCAGCTTGCAAAGCAGGGGAGAGTTTGATTGGACACTTCGGAGGGAGTGGCACCTATTCTTTCGATTGTTGTGCAGGCGGGCAGTTTTGCCAAGGCTGCCGTATCTACGCCAACGATGACTGCCAGGAGTGTGCAGCTGGATACACAAAGCAGCAAATTCCAGTGCTTGGAGTGTCCAAATGCTTTGTTTGTGATGACGTTCCACGGTGGCATGATGCACAGGGTCGTACCTGCGCAGACCTGAAAAGAGATGGCGTTTGCTCGGGTTCTTGGCCACCGAAGGAAGAAGATGCACCTTATCATGGGCTTCGACCGAGCGAGGCCTGCTGCGATTGCGGTGGTGGCAATGTCTACCCCACTCCTTCGTACACCAGTTTGACAAATGAAGCCTTGCACTTTGGGCAAGAGGTGGATGCAACGCCAGAACCACTCACATATTCTCAAGAAGTTGATGCAGAGTGCATGTTTGCAACGTCGGGGCTCACGCTATCCGACAACGGTCGCATTCGAGGTAAGGTGAACGTGACGAACGAGACGACGATCACGTGCTCCATTGTGTCAATGGAAGATCCTATTCGTGGGATCGCAAGCAACACGGAGTTTTCAGTTCCAGTCTATGAGTTTGCGTACGGCAAGCAGACGATGTTCTTTCAGTTCTACGGCTTACAGCAGCACCCAGAAAGTAGCCAGATACCCCGGCAGCCGAGCAGCGCAAATCTCAGCGGCTTTCGGCTGGAATGCGATCCGGAATGTCCTTGGCTTTCTGTCAACCCCTCGTCTGGCAACCTGCTTTCCGAGCCGGCCCAGTGGTTAAAGGTGACCTTCCCCCAAGACATGAAAGCACAGGTTCAGGCCTTGTCTGGGATGCCCTCTTGCAGCTGTCAAGTTCTGGCGATTCCGGGAGACTCGACAGATGTCGTCAGCACGAAGTTTCTGGTTGCGCAAGCTCGCTTTTGGAGGGCGGGACACTGGGAGGTGCCTCAGATCACTGGTCGTGTCCAGCTTGAGATTGACGACGTACCTCTTCTGGAGTTTTTGGGACCATGCCTTAGTCTCCTTTGAGAGCATCGTTGTTCATGTGCATGTGTGGCTCTGTACCAACGCCAGGGCCGGTATCATAGATTCCTGCATCGCTCCTGCATCTAGTAGGCTCAACAACGGTTCTTCACGAAACCAATGTGCAGAGTCGTAGATGCTGCAACAGCTGCGATCTGAATTTGCCACCACGTGATGTGTGAAGGAACCCTTTGACCGAAGTACTTGTCGCAAAGGCTTGCAAAGGCTTGCAAAGGCTTGCAAAGGCCACTGCCGTGGTAGCGCCGGTGTTCCGAATGCCCACCGCCTTTTTCCAGAACTTCTTCCGGGATGTGACCGGGATGTGTAGACTTGGCAAGCCTCAAGTGCTGTTCTGGCTACACTCTAGCTAGAGCTGTAGAGGCTGCATCAATCGAGACACATCGCAAGCTTGGGCTTTGCCCATCCAAGAATCGGGTTCATGGAAATGAACTCGAAAAGACGTTTTGCATTTTCAGAGCCGCAGATAGAGAAATGTGGCCGTGCCCTGCGGAAGACACGATCTAACCCGAAACGTTGCACTTGAGTGCGGCCTTGATGAGTCGAAGCGTCCAATAGCCGACAGCATGCGAGCCAATCCTTCACTGGGATGATCAACGCCAGCGCGTGCCGCCTCAGATCAGGTGGAGTCCGGTAAGCCTCTGCCATGCAAGTCAGGAAGGGCGATTTCAGAAACCAATCCGCCTCGCCGTTGCCAGGAAAGGTAGCTCCTTCAAGGGTGAGGGGAGCGGGGCGCGGGGAGCAAGCAGAGGCAGATGCGGGGGGCTGGGTGGTGGGGGGGTTGGGGTGGATGTGGTTGGATGCGGTACTCCCCAGACGGCGATACGGTGAGGCCTCCACGGATTAATTATGCCCAGCCGATCTTGTCCCGAAAAGTAGCCCAACTGGAGATCGGCACAATGAAACCTGCGCGATGCAAGGACCTGAGTTCCGTTGGTACAATCGTTCCGGCCATGATTTGCAGCTCCCGGTGGTCGAGGAAGTGAAGTCGGGAAAGAAGTTCGTCGTGCCGGAGGCGATCCCACCAAACATTTTGGATGTCAAGTGCACAGTGGAGAAAGAACGTCTCGAGCTCACGTGGTCGCGAATTACTGGTGACGTGATGCTGCAAGGCGAGACCGCCTTTCGCTTGGACCCGTTCACTGGTACCATCTCTGGGACTCCTTCGATCAGGTTTTCTTCGCTCGAGGCTTCGTCCCTACTAGGCCGCGCTGAAGTGAACATCAAGTGCGAAGTGGCACTTGGAGGCGGAATGGAAATCTTTTTGGCAGTTCTAAAGTTCTAAACAATGAATGAAGTAATGCTGTGCTCTTTCATGCATCTCGCTGGCAGGGCCCCTCTATGAGAAAGCCCTGCCAACGGCTATCGTGCATGTTCTGATTCGTGATGATGTATGCTGGGAGCCAAGCCGAATTGGACGAGTGTGTGTAGCAAAATTGTGATGGTGCCGTGCTGGCTTGCATCTTGCGGTGTGTGTGTGTGTGTGTGTGTGTGTGTGTGTGTGTGTGTGTGTGTGTGTGTGTGTGTGTGTGTGTGTGTGTGTGTGTGTGTGTGTGTGTTAGTCTGCTGTGGTAGTTCATCCGGGACCATCTATGTTCTGCTTTCTGCCTACAATAGTTTGCGGCAATCACGAAGCTCCTCCCTCGTTGACATTTGCATCTCTTGTTGAAATTCTGGGGAGGGTTTGGGACGGGGGTGGTCATATGGGCCAGTGACAGCATTCTCGGATGGTTTCCAAGTACTGGTCGTATTGTTGCCGGGCCAAAGTGGAAAAGCGATAGGCCCCCCCGAAGACGCGATTAATAAGGACCTCGTTGTTTCACGTGTAGTTTCGTTGCCCGGAAGTTTTGTCAGATGCCCACATCAAAATTCATCACGTTACACATCGCCAAACACAAAAACTGCAGGCATCACAAATGAGGAAAGCAAACTACCACATGACACCACGTCAGCAACACATGTCGTCTACTTGTGTGTGTTTCGGATAGTCGTTGTGGTAGCACTTCACACGGTTTTGTGCTGCTTTGCTTGGATGGCTGATCCACAGTCGGTGCATGATGGTGTGTGTATGTGTGTCCCGCTTCTGCAAGATCTCGCGTGGCCAAGGTTGGGTGCCTCGCGATGTGTTCGGGACTTGGGGAAGCAGTCGTGGGTCGATCTTGACCGAACAAAAGTGCATCGACACTTGCAAGAGCCAGCGCCAGTGTGCCGCTTTCTACTTTACCACTTCCCGGACGCCTCGGTGTTGGCTCTTGAGCACGCCGGATTCATACTCGCCTTCGTACGAGCCAGAGTCGGCTACACACCGCGCCTTGGTTCGGGTGAATAACTGTTCAGAGGCGGAGACCGGCCTCAATATTTCGATCCCAGAAGCGCAGTACCTCCAGGGCGAGTTCTCTGTGACGAACATGCACCACCACGAGCCCACCTACTTTCGTGCAGGACCCAATGTGGAACGACAGCTGGTTCTGGCCCGAGGGCCTGATGTGCAATCAACCAACCACGAGTGTGAACAGTTGCTGACGGCAATTAAGAAGATTTCTGTTCATTGTTGTATCATGCGGTGTTTCTTGTTGACACCAAGCATGGGAAGGGATTCAGCTGGAAGCTATGGGTTTCTTACATTGTTTTACACCACGACCCCTTGTCTCCAACTTGAGCTTGTCTCCTATTCTGTCTGGTGGGATGTTTCCAAGCTTGTCTCCCAGTTTGTCTGGTGGTCCGTGCTGAAGGAAGCTTGTCTCCTAGCCTGCGTGGTGTCGAATCTTTCTACCAGCTTGGCTCCACTCATCTCGCTGTGGTGGCATGCCGGCATGGCGTCAAATTGCTCATGCCCGTCTGTTTTTTTTCTCTCCGATGTAAGCATCTTGGGGAGGTCTTTGTCATACCGGAGGTTTGGGAACAGTGGGCGACAGGGTGGGTTGCAGACACGCTTTTTGATCAGATTGTACTTTCTGGGGTCTGCTGTTAAAGACGTGCTAAGTACTACTTCGGGGCATAGCTCAGGTCTACTTGGGTCCTCCTGCACACCAACTCATCCGATTATGAGGATGAAGAGTCCGGCAACGCGCCCGAGTTCTTTGGGCAAGTGATTGGTTGCATCCATTCTGACCTGGTCTCGAACGTTTTCTCTCATGGGGAAGAGGCCTTTCAATTGAACCTGCAGGAAAAGGAGGTGCAGGACGTGGACGAGAAGGATAGACCTGGACTAAACCTATCCGCAGTCGCGTCTTTGACCTTGCCTTCATGTCCAAAGCCTGATGAGGATTTCATCTATGGGACAGAAGAGCGACCTGATTTGTATTCTTTGCACCCTTGCGAATGCTTTGGTGCTGCCTTTGCAGATGAAGCACCTGTGACTGAAACCTCTGATGTAGCTGTACCCAAGGATGCAGCTGGTACATTCAACGTGGGACCGGTTCCAGACATCAAGCTTCTTCAAGGCCCTTACACCTGTGAAGAAAACGCTCAAATAGCACGTTTTCAGGATGTGGGCCTGTCGGACTGCCAGCAAAATTGCGAGTCAAGCCCCGACTGTAAGTTCTACATCTTTGGCGAGGCTTCGGATGATTGCACTTTGTACAAGAGCTGCGACTACATACAGCACGTTGGCCTGCAGATCGTGAACAGCTTGTACGGTAAATCCCCGAAGTCTTCGTCATTCTGTAGAATTGCCGACCCGGAGGGGTGCTGGGCAAACATCAGGCGCCGAAGTATGCTGAGTTTTAAGCCTTCAGACCTTCCTGAATGCCTCTTCCAGATGCAGCTTGACGCGTGTGATGCTCTCCAACTTCTTCATGGACAAGTCGACGGCACTTGCACGCGCTGCCTGTACATTGATGCGTCAACTCCATTTGCAAGCAAGGGGCTGACCAAAGTACCACTTCCGGAGACCTTTCCTTCGGGCGCGCAGCTTGTGGCGACATGCAACGATACGTCCAGGATGTTTGCCAAACAAGAAGGGGACCTAGTGTGGGAAGGGATGGAGAAGCCGGCGAACTTCGTATGTGTTAGCGGAAAGTGGGAAGGCTCCCCAGGCCCGGGGCAATCCTTGGCGAACCTGATGTGTGAGAGATGCATCCAAGTGGGATCGCCAAGACTTCAGCTGTTGTCACGCATCTCTATGCCGGAGGTCTTCTTCTTGGAGCACAGAAAAGTACACGTGACATACCCCTTTGCGTCACCAGGCTGCACTTCTGCCGTCCAGCAAACTCAGGCTCGTTTGCGCTCAACGTCGTCGGAGATGTATGTGGTCATGGCTAAAGAGAAAAGGCAACACAAGCTTTCGCTTCAGCCGAACGCTGATGAGGATACTGACACTGTATCCCCGCATTGGTACACTACCCGCAACGGAGAGCTGAACACAGATGTGATCGGACTCGCGCAAATCCGGGAATTTCCAGACCATGACTTGTACGTTGTGGAAGGCTCCTCGAGCGTTGCTACGTGGACCTTGCAAAACAACGGGTTGCTGAAATCCTCGGATGGAAAGCGGTGTGCTCTGGCTGTGGATAATGCCATCCGTGCCGTCGACTGCCCAGAACAACCTGGCGAGGAGTTTCGATGGTACCTTGCCGGCGGCGATTGCATTCTCGATATTTTTATGGCCAATACTGCAGCGAAGCTTTGGTCTGTCAAAGCGGAGACCGTTTCTAAAGATTTCGTCTCGTTGGGTCACCTGGCCTTTCGCCCAGGACACTCCAGTTTGCACGGAGCTTCGCTATTTGGAAGCTGTGAGGCATCCATATCCGTAGATGCAAATGAATCTGACGTCCCAAGTGACCTTGCTCCACTTGATCTGCAAGTCGAAAGTGCAGAAGAACTTTCCGTGAAGGAAAGAGCGGCTTACACCCATGTACCTGCACTGGCTGTTTATGATGGTGTGGAACACTTCCAGCAAAGATACCCGATCTTCATTGCCTTGCCAGGCCAGGGGAATGCCAAGAACACGAACACGACGGTTGTCGCACACAAGGTCGCAGTGCAAGCCCAACTTGTAGCCTCGAAATGGCCCACAAACCAAGACCGGAAAGCCGATCTGCTCAACCTGAACTGCCCGGCATGGCTTCAGAAGTTCACGCATGTCAACCCAGCGATCGCTGCAAACTCAGCCAGTGGTGGCATTGCTATGCCAGAGCTGATGAACATCTACCAAGACACTTTCTACCCCGCTTCGCGGTACTCAAATCCTACCGGCATGCCCTTTGACTGCGATTTGTCTGATCATTCTGAATACGTTGGTGTGGACAGGTGCATGCGCTTCGGTTTTCTGAGCGTGACGCCTAATGGGGGGGTTTGGGGTTTGCGTTGTCCGCCTGGCTCCGTGGTGGCATCGGACAATTCCATGATGCCGTATTGCCTCCAGCTTGGCGCCAACATGGGTCCAGAGCAAGAATTCCAAAGCTTTTCTGGATCGATGGATTGTCCGGCGGGCAGTGCAGTCAGTGGGTGGTACAACTTGCCTGGAATTCCGGTGAAAGCGAACAGTTCAAATGGCCCCGGTAATTTCACCGGAACTCGTCTGTGGTGTCGCTCTACACCACTGCTGTCATCATGTGAGCAGCCCACCGCAGCCTGGTGTCAGACCCCAGGAGTTGTGGTGAGTGTCAGCTTTGACTCCAATCAGTTCAAGCTTGGCTGCTGCCAGGTGCAAAGGCGTTTGGGCATGGCGCTGGGTGAATACACGTCTCTCAGTGAGACAACGAATTCTGCTGGCTATTACTGCCCAGCCAGGATAGACAACACGGGCGCGCCAATCTATTCCAAGGCCTTCATTGCCAGCCTGGGTGAACCAGAGAATTCATCCCAGAAAAACGGATGGACAGTAAAATGGGACAGATGGAAGGAACGCTGGCTGCTGGAAGACCCTGAAGGGACTGCCACCGCGTTCTTGCCTGGATCAGCATTGTCGCCAGCGTGGATAAATGCATCCGGCTTCAGTTTCTCAGCAACCTTTATTGAGCCTCTCACTGCAGCCTACCTGACCCAACAGAAGCCAGATGGTCCTTTCCCGAAGCAGAAGCCTACTATGCCCAAGCTGGTGCCGTTCCGTTCAGAGCAGCCAGACTACAAGGAGTATTGCGATCCAGCTTTTTTGGAAGATCCTTCTCAATATCCGGCGGCTGAGTCGATGGCCGAGACCAACCCTTGCTATCATGTCTTCAACTCCATGCCAGCGAATTTGGATCCAGAGGTTGATTTACCGAAGGGTATCACCGAACAGTCGTTTTGGCAGTGCAGTGAGCGAAGCAAGAGACGGACCTTCATGAGCGCACAGACTCAGATCAATTTGGGTCAGGAGGGAAGAGAGATCGATGAGAAATTGAGCTGGTGGGGGAAAGTGAAGCTGACGGCTGAACTTGCTGGAGCCATTCTTGGAATGATCCCTTGGGGAAGCTGGTCCGCGCCGAATGAGAAAAGTGCCGAAATTGCGCAAGAGAATGTCAAGGAAAAGGTGGAAGAGGAGGTGAAGAAGACCGTGTCGCAAAAGATCAAAGCGTTCTGGAAAGAAAAGCTCGCGAACAAGGAGTGGTGGTCCACTGGCTTGAAGAATCTCAAGGAGAGCACCATGAAGAACATCACCAATGGCGGGGCTTCCTATGCTTTTAAAAAGGCTGGGAAGAACAAGGTTTGGGACAAGATCACCGCGTTCCCCGGCAAATGGTCGGCGCCCGGAGCTCCGAACCCTCCAAGCCCGGGACAGTGGGAGAACATGTCTGAGGAGCTCATCAAACAGACGGTCCCGGAGCTGAATGGGGACTACGACAAGGACATGCAATCACTGGCTGATGCGAGCTGGAAAGATTGCCTTCCGTTGCAGTTTGGCCTTTCCAAGGTGATGTGCGACCTGTTCTGCATTCAGGATTCTGTTCGTGCTGGCACCTCAGCTGTGCTCAGCAGTTTGCAGGACTCGCATGCGGTCTTGATGACGAACATGCAAGCATTGCTGAACTACCAGACGCAGTTGTTGCTTTGGACCATCGGTTCAGTGCTCCAGCCCCAAGAGGCAAAGAAAGCTGAAGCCGACGTACTCTCCGCACCAGCACTCTTGGATGGAATGCGTCAGTTGGATTTGACCCACTTGACCTCTGAAGGGCTCAATTTGGGCTTGGAGGTGTTGGATTGGCACAAGACAACTGGGGATCAGCTTCTTTCTCGTATGGCTGGGATGTTCATCAATGTCTCCCTGCAAAATTGGCCCCACCGTCGCCAAGCTATGAAGGGCATGCTGCATCATTATGAAAGAAGCCTTCATGAACGCCTTGGTGCGTCTGCTTCCTCTGCCCCTCAAAAGCAGATGAACCGCAAGCTGGAGCACTTGCGTGATCAAAGCTTTGGTCAGCGCGAAGCGGCGCACGCCGTGAAGTCTTTGCAGGCACACTCCTCGCCGCGTATGATGTCGTGGAATGACCCAGCTTCTGTAAGTGCTTGGATGTCAATCCTGGAGTCGTTTCTGCGGTGTCACGAGAAACACGACGCCTTCACCATGCTACATTTGAAGGCATTAGACCAGGTGGAGTACGCCGTCACTTTGGCCAAGAACTTCTCGCGGTGTGAAGGTGCAGACACCGTGGCGTTGCGGGAGTCGTGGCAGCGAGCCATGAGGGCTGAGGAGCGGAGTAACGAGGCACTGTTGGAAGCATGGTCTGCCAGCATCGCGACTTCGGAGCATCTCGGCCTTGTCATGGACCAAGGCTTCCTTTCCCACCTGGTGGCCAACCTGGAGTTTTCTGAAGAGGGTCCCTTGGAAAGGTGTGAGAATGGGACTCGAATTGCTCAGCGCCTCTACGGGCATGCGGTCTCAGTGGCGGTATCCGCTTTGCAGCCTCTGGCACTCCAATTGAACACGTTTCAGGTACTGGCTACCTACCAGGAGTACCAGTTGAAGCACCGGAAGTTACGCTACATTCCTCTAAACTTGGATACATCAGAGCTCAAGACTGTCTTGGCCGACATCTCGAACCCAAAGACACCAAATGGTCGAGCATTGGCCTTGAGGGCCGTGAAGACTTTAGGGAAGCAAATGTGTCCGGAGATTCTGAGGGCGGCTGATGACGCTGTCGAGTTCCTACAACCAGAAGAAGCGAGCCTTCTTCTATTATCCTGAGGAGATACTTACTTTTCTCATTATGTTGTTTGGCCAATGAGCCGACAGATTCCCGATCCGACTATGATATGAAACATTACGACAATGATTTAATGGATGCGCGTTTTGGAAGTTCCCTTTGGCACACGACTCTCTTCTATTCCCAAATATAATTCAGGGAATTTGTATTGGAAATTCAAAAAACTTGAACGAGGATCCTTAAGG